AGGCCCAAAAAGGCCCATTCAAAATGGCATGTCAAACAATCAAAACGAAGCCCAAGCAAAGCTTTCATCTAAGCAGATAGCAGCACACTGATGAAGTGATGAGCAATCGATGCCCACATGCCAGAGGCAGATTAGATTTAGTCGGAAATTATATCACTTCTAACGAAACGGTTCTCGGTTTGCTCGGGATTTTTCTTTACATATTTATCATACTATCTAATGACAACCCTAATAATAGAAATTAGAAGTGAAATCCTATGTATACTAGCTAGAATCGAAAATGGTCAAAAAAAATATTATCACTCCTATGGAAATGATACTTGGCCGATCAAGAATTTCCATCGTTGTTTTCATCCCTTAGGTATACGGAACTAACAAAGTTATTACTACTCGCCGTCTCACAAAGATTTTATTTGTAACTATTAGATGATAAAGTACTATAAAAGTTATTACTACTCGCCGTCTCACAAAGTTATCCACTACTTATCTTATTAATGATAAAGTAGTATTGAAAAATGCTAGGAATGGAATATTTGAGAAATAAAATTTCTTTGATTTGTGGATTGAGACTTGAGAGTAGGGAAAAAAGGATAAACAAACTCTTTTTGACAATTTTTAAGAGATAGAAATAAAGTCTTTTTGAAACCAAGGGTTCAGTGGTTAGGCAGAGGGCTAGGACATGCATGAATATGATCATTTAAATACTTTACTCCCTCCGTTTTAGATTATAAGATATTTTGACTTTTCAAATTTGACTGAGTTTATAGATAAATATAGTATAATATTTATAATATCAAATTATTTTAATAAAACTTTAATTGTATATATTTTTATAATATATTTGTCTTTGGTTGAAAATGCTATTATTTTTTTCTACAAACTTAATTAAATTAAAGATGTTTGACTTTTATCAAAGGTTTGAATGATGATTGATGAGGATGAGACAAGCATACTTTACTGATAAACGTTTTTTTCATGGGAAAGTTGCGTAGACTTTGCTTGTAAGTTAGTACTGTAACCGGCTCCGGACCCCCCGGAAGATTAGTTGACCTACTCAAAAACTCATGCTTCAATTCACACAATATTTAGTCAGAATCTTACAAATTTTGACCGCTAGCTGATATTTAATTGGAAAAATTATAAAAACCACCCCATAAATCACTTGAAGATTGACATTCCACCCTATAAGTCATTTTGTTGCAAATACCCACCCTCTACTTAGTTTTGTTGCAAAAACCACCCTAATGCACACATACTTAATCAAATCAGTTTATTATCGCTGATTTATGGTTATCACAGGCTAAGCTAGCCAAGTCAATACTGTCCAAGTGTTTACATTAGACTTATTTTCCATATTTGATTGAACCTTTTTTTCATATAGCGAAACTCAGTGCGACAATATTTAAGCTCTCGTCTACAATTTTATTTGTGGAGTCTCACCAAAAAAATATCTAAGAATACTCCGAAAGTATTTAATTTTGGTAAAAACCACATTAATCGCTCACACTTTATGAAAACATATTGATTCGGTTAAGCATGTGTTTACTGGGGTGGTTTTTTCATCAAAACTTAATAGGTGGGTGGGCATTTGCAACAAAATAACTTATGGGGTGTAATGTCAAACTTCAAGTGATTTATGGGGTGGTTTTTGCAATTTTCCCTATTTAATTTGTACATAGGCCATGAATTCGTGCAACGAAACCTCTTCTCTATGGAATGGTTGACGACTAACCCAATTCTTAATCAAATAAATTTTGTCGTCGTCGATCGATCAATTAATTGACAGAAATCACATCCACAGGAAAAATAAGGAAAACAAAAACAGTGGTCGGATTTGATCGATCGATCCGTTAATTTCCTGATTAATTAGTCAATGGGGTTCGGTTCATTAGCCGGATTAGCTCGAGCTAATCCCAAAAGCCACGATTAATTAGCGCGGCGAAATTACTGCCTTTCCCTCGCCGGGGACGGGCGGGCGACGTGGCCAGTTGGGTAAAAATTTGGCGCGAAATTCACGCGCGCGCCGGTGCATGGCATGGCGCGCATGCAAAATAAGGGCCGTTTAGTTACTAAAAAGTTTTTTCAACATCACATCGAATCTTTGACACATAAATAAATTATTAAATATAGATAAAAAGAAAAACTAATTGTACAGTTATGGGAGAAATCGCGAGACGAATCTTTTAAACCTAATTAGTCCGTGATTAGCAATAAGTGCTACGGTAACCCACATGTGTTAATGACGGCTTAATTAGTCTCAAAAGATTCGTCTCACGGTTTTCCGGCGAGTTCTGAAATTAGTTTTTATTCGTGTCCGAAAACCCTTTCCGACATCCGATCAAACGTCAAAGGTGACATCCAAAAATTTTCTTTTCCTCAACTACACAGGGCCTTAACCGCTTTGTACGAATTCAAAGCCGCGTGGAATTTGGCACGGCACGTCGCAGTTAGATCGATCCAGCTCACATCCTCGCTAGCTAAACCTCTTCAAGCTTATAATCTTTGATTAATTAGTTGATTTCATCTTACACTAAATTAATTACTGCTTTCTGTAAATGTCTTGTTTAACTTTTCAGCAGCTCGGATGGGCGAAGTTGACAGTAGATAGAGAGCTAGGTAGAAATGTTACAGTACTAGCTAGCTTGGCAAGTATAGCTGCTCCATCTTGACAAATTTGTGGTGTTGGTTTGGTTAATTAATTAATGAGTTGATCACCGGCTGGTATGGTTATGATGATGATTAGGTCAATTACGCGGTTGCTGATAAGCTGATTGCTAATTGCGTGCACCCCAAAACAATCAAGCTAAGCCCGGGATTACGCATGAATCATCATAACCTGGGTACTATATATTAATGGGTTTGTTTGGGAGAGTTTAAAATTCTGATAAGCTACTGGTTGATAACCAGCTTCTGAGACTGAAAAAATTGAGTTTTCTAGCTTCTGGTTTCGAATTCATTTTTTAAATTCTACAAGTATATTTTCTAATAATCTAGATAAAAAATATACTGTATTATAGGAAAAACTGCATCCTCCAGATAGGCCCATTATATGCATGCGTCACTGGAGACATGCAGAGCCAGAAAATTCGGTTGAAAAGGGCCATGGCGTGATGCAACGAAATTAATTAACGAGGCTTTAAATGGTCGAAGAAATAGTGGATTAAGAGCATGTACAAAGCTAGAGTCATATATGACCTCTATGTTATCTAAAAACTAGTATCCTACGTAGAGACAATAAGATCTCTAATTATTAATATATCAAAATACTTTTTCTTACTCTTTTTTCCTTTCTTTCATCACCATGCAATAAAATTTACTCTAATAAATACTAAGAGTCAACTCTGAGCTGTTGTCATGTATAACAACCATGCTTGTTTCTCTTTCTTCCATGTCATCAAATTTACTTGAATGGCAGTAGAGAGACCTCTATTTCACTAATACTAATTAATCCGTGTACAATTTCTTAAATAATCAGGTCACCCTGATTATTGGCATCCTATGGTCCTTCTCCAAATAAGATACGGAACTGAAGCTTGGCAGGTCGTACTGCTCCACTTAATTTGCTCTGATTAGTTGGTCAGTGATTTGCGTCTGAAATTAGCATTATGCCCATTGAATGTATTGTACAGAATTAGTTGGGAGAAAAAAATTACTAATTCCATTGATAAGTGAGTATCAAGCATTAATTAAAAGTGAGGATTAAAAATATTGTTGTTTTGCCCGGGGGGGCAGATTAATTAACATCGTCGAATCGATCGTAGGTCACAGCAAATCTCCAACTTTAGGTTCTGCCAAATGTGGGCCCCAGGGAACCGAAGAACACTAAAGCGGGGCCCACTTGCACAGCGACGTCATCACAACCTAACCTGGTCTCAGAACTCGCGCGTGACATAATCTGGACAAAACTTTTTATTTTAATCCATCTCACTTTGGCCCTCGCTGTTTTGGTGAATTTTGTTACATGAATTTGTATCCCCACAACGAATGACAATGCGGTTCTCCTCGTAAAAACCCTGCGATGATGCAGGAATGTAAAGCCTCGCGTGTAGATAGTGCTACACAAACTATAGAAGTCTAGCATTTTTCATAGAACAAAGTGTATTGAAATTTTGAATTTTATAGAAAGTTTATTGAAGAAAATTTAAAGGATATTTTCAAAACAATAAGAGTGGTGTTCACATTACTAAATATGTAAGCAAATTAGAACGGAGTAAGAATTGAATTCCACTTCCATATTTAGCATCAACTAATATTATCATCGAATTGATTGCACGCTCGGTGCCGTGTCTCAAATTCTTTGTTGTGCTAGTATTTTCTCGCTATCCAAATAAATGCGCCGACGATTTAATATCCATAAGATACAGATGACTCATCTTCTGATGTTCCATCTTTGTTTCATGTGCACATCAGTAGCCATTGCTAAATATGGTACAGGTGCACCGAATATAATTTTAACGTATGTCTAACAACACTAAAAAGCTATAATAATTTATAATAATTGTAAGTTGTCAGTCCACGTAATTGGAGCAAGAAAAGCGGCAACTAAAGTGACCCGTATGATCCGCATTACATCTCGCTAACTTTTTTGAAAGGGTGTTGTACGTTCCCCAAAAAAATCAACATTACACTTATTTTATAAAAAGAGAGGTAGCCTAAAACAAGAGGAAAAAGCTATGATACATATTACTCTTTTACGGTTCTACTATAGTCTGGAATCTAAGATGTCCTATTCTGAAAAAGACGCATGTAAACACGAAAAAGAAAAGAAAATCATAAGTCCTATTCAACAAAGATGTAAAGCAAAGTACATAAAAAAAGGAAATGAGATTATTTGTTTTTTTCCCACATTTCCACCCAACCCATCCATCCATCCATCCCTCTCAAAGTTCTCCAACCCAAGAACCACAAAAAGGCCTACAAATACCATGCACCAATGCAAAATATAGACAGAAGGGGTGTACTAGTAAACAAAACAAAAAGAATAGGTTGAGACTTTCCTGCTATCGTCAGCATTTTCAGCCCCCCTCCCCTGGGCTGGCTCTGCATCATCATTCATCATCAGCAGCAGTCAGTCCATCCAACGCGTCTTCAGTCCTCACCCGCAGCAAGAAAGCCACACTTTTCCTCCTCCTCCTCCTCCTCCTCCTCCGCCTCTTCCTCTTCCTCCCCCTTCGTTCTCCACACCCACTCTCGGGCTGCGGCTTCTCCGGCTTCCGCGCCTCTTCCTCTGTCGGTGAGTGCTGCGAAATTTTGTGGTTCTTCAGTTAAGGCCGTGTTTGGCTGCATGGTGGGTGGGTGTGTCTATCTGTTCTTGGGGAGGTTTGGGGATTTTGGGAGGTTAGCGGCGGGGTTTCTTCTTCAGCTATGATTTTTTCAGGTCGCGGGTGTGGTGGTTAGCGGCGTTTCTTGGTGGGGTTTTGGTTTTGTGAGGGGAGAAGGGAAGAAGGGCAATGTCAAAGATGGGCGATCGTGTGAGTTTGATGGTTTGGTTGGTGTGCATGTAATGTTTTCTGGTTCTTGATTGTTTCTCCTTTATGAAATCGCGGAAGATAAGAATTTTCTCGATTGTATAGTTGGGTAAAAATTGGCTCTTTCTTGTTATCGAATTTCTAACTTGTTTTTGTTTCATGGAAATCCTATTGGTGGAAAAGGATAAGGATAAGGCACTTGCCTGGTTTTCAAAGAAGGTTTTTGTGATGATATTACGATTGTATAGGTCAAGCATGTGTGAATTCATGGGAATGATATTACGATTGTAGAGCTCGTATGATCAAGAAGCTCTTTTTTTTTTGCATGTAATGATTTATCCACTGGCACCATTTTTAGTTTTTGCAATCAGCAGTCTCAAACTGTGAAAATTGTGTGCTTTCAGCCTTTCCCTTTGGTTTTATTGCTCATTGATAGCCTGTTACTTCTTTTTTTTACGATAATAGATTTAGGAATTTTGACAAATCTTTGCAGTGCTGATAGATACATAGTACTATACATTTTCTTTTTTTTAGATAAGTATACATTTTCTTGTTACTGCCTAGACAAGAACAGTCCAAACTGACTACAAGCATGGTATGCAGCAGAATGTGAACTAGCATTTGAACAGTTGGAGGATGCATGTCGGTTTTATTACATTCATAGCCTAGCTTTAAAGAGAGGATGGTATTGAATATTGAATGTGTGTAATTATAATCGACAATAGTTACATGATAAAGTTAAGAGGTCAGGTTTCTTCTACTGAAAGGTGGAAGAATATTTGCTTGTTACAAATTGATTGTATGGAACTATGAATTGGTTGCTTCCATTTCCCAAAGAAAATGAGTTGCCGCTGTAGAACAAAACAGAAAATAAGTCCTAATGATCTGCAATCAATCGAATTAGAATCATTCCATTTGTACAAATGGTGGCTTAGGACAGCAGCTGTGGTTTCAATGTTCATGTACGTTCTGTTTTGTGTATAACAAACAATGGCGCAGATTGGAAGCTTGTCTTGTATCTAAGTTTTCATAATGCACTACCATCCATGCTATATTTGCTGTCCTTATGTTCTTTTAGTTAGTTCATCACAAATATTAGATATAATTTCAACTATGCTTGGTTTAGCTGTTTGTGACATCTCTGCAGTTTGTTAAGGAAAATAAATGCGGACCATGGAAAAATTCAAAATCCCTTATTTAAATAATTTGTGTATTAAACTGACATGAATATGACACGAGTGTGTTTTAGCTGAGGATCTTTTGTCAACTGTATGCATCAAGCAAGAATTGTCCTACTAATATTTTAATACTTGTTTATTGATGTGGTTAACGCGTGCTATAAGATAACCAACTTTATAAGTAGTAGCTATTATAGTATTGTATATATACCATCTTCTCATTTGACAATATCTTTTAAATATTGTGCACAGGGTTAACAAAGTTACTTTCAGCGTCAGAGGGTATTTCGTACAAAAAGGAACTGCTGTTGGTACAGGATTATCAGCTGTGAACACTTTCTGTTTCTAGAGGCCATTCTCTGTAACACTTTGGAGCATCAATTTTGTAGCGTGCTATCATGGACTACTCTGCTGGTTCCTACATGTGGCCTGGCAATTCAGGTTCTGAGAACTATAATTTTGTTGACGGTTCGTCGGAATCATATGCAGAAGAAGGAAGCCTACCACCTTCAGGCTATTTCATGGGAGCTGGATCAGATCGCAGTTTAAAGATCACGGAGAATGAAAGGAACCCCACTATGCTTGCAAATGGATGCTTGCCATACAACACCCAGGCTCATCCATTATCTGGCCAGATTCTACCTAAGGGTGAGCTCCCTAACAATCTTCTGGATCTTCAACAGCTACAGAACAGCAGCAATCTGCGAAGCAATTCAATTCCCCCAGGGGTTCTTCAGTGCAATTCAACATCTGGAACATTTGATGCGAAATTGGATACACCTGGTCTTGCAGAACTGCCTCATGCTTTGTCCAGTTCAATTGATAGCAATGGTAGTGACATTTCTGCTTTTCTTGCTGATGTGCATGCCGTTTCTTCAGCCCCGACGTTGTGTTCAGCATTCCAAAACGTTTCCTCCTTCATGGAACCAGTAAATCTAGATGCTTTCGGTTTCCAAGGGGCACAAAATGTTGCTATGTTGAACAAAACAAGTCTTCCAAATGGGAATCCCTCGCTGTTTGATAATGCTGCCATAGCATCACTACATGTAATGATCACCAATTCACCACATATACATAATTGCCATATTATCTGCTTCATTGAATTATTTTTTGCTCTTTTGGCAATCCAGGATAGCAAAGAGTTTCTCAATGGTGGTTCCATCCCTTCGTTTGGTACTGTCCTGCAGGCACTAGGAGCGGGTGGTTTGAAGGCTGCTCAACAGGTTTCAATTTCAAGCTTTACCACTAAACAGCAATTCCCACATCCGCAGCTCACTATCCACTCAATTCTAACTGTACTGATGAATCAATTTTCATATTGCAGGAGCAAAATATCCGGAATATACCTCTCCCTACATTCACATCTGGTAGTCATTTGGCAGTTACTGATGCACAAGGGCCACCACTTCCTTCAAAGGTTCTATTTGCATTTCTCATTGACAGTGTTTCACTTTCTTTCTCTTCAATTTTATACCTCAACAGTTGAATTTTGTGTATGAAAATGTTCAGATACCACCATTGATCCATGACCATAATAGTGAGTACCCTATTAACCATTCTTCTGATGTGGAACCCCAAGCAAATTCAGCTCCTGGAAATAGTGCCAATGCGAAGCCACGTACAAGGGCTCGCCGTGGACAGGCAACTGATCCTCACAGTATTGCTGAACGGGTGAGTTCTTTTATAAGATCAGTTCACTTTGAAACAAATCAAACTGTTGCATAATAATCGATTATTTTTTTTAATTTGTGTGCACCCATGGTCTTAAATATAATTTCTCATTGTGCTGCAGCTTCGCCGAGAGAAAATTTCAGAAAGGATGAAAAATCTCCAAGTCCTTGTCCCAAACTCCAATAAGGTGCTTTTTTTGTTCTGAGTCACCACAAAAATGCAATCCGCTTCTCCCCCTGTTGTTATTGCTGTCATATTCATAACTGTTGATTGATAACAACTAAGAGTATACTAGGGGAGGATACATACTTAAGTATGTTGGGAAATTGACCAAATGGGACAAACAGAAGCAAGCATTTTTTTGGATTATCAAATAGATCAGATCCAAGTATTGATCTTTTGGTGCAGCCAACACATGGGCGTTAGATGTACCGTTGTCTTTGTTTCAGGTGGATGGGATTTATAATGTTGCTGATACATATATTCTGCCTTCAATGCAATTATTTTTTTATTGGCATCTATCTATACTCCTTTTCAAAGAAAACAATGGTGGTGGCAGTGAATCTGCCACCCCACCTCTATTATATAGAGTATTGTTTATGCTTTTACTAAATACCCCTTCATGTGTTTTACAAAATAGTTTTCTACATATGATTCTATTTTATTTCATCTCTAAAATACAAATTTATTATGCAAAGACATCTACAGGGAATAAATTGTCCCAAAAACATCACAATAATTTTTCCAAGCAATATTAGCACATGTATAATTTATTTTAATCCGTAGCAAAGCAAGTGTATTTAGCTAGTATAGAATAAAATGTATACAAATTTTGGTTTAGAACTCCTGACAATTAACCCTTCTTTGTATGAGCAGGCAGATAAGGCATCAATGCTTGATGAAATAATTGATTATGTGAAATTTCTTCAGCTTCAGGTCAAGGTACATCTGCAGTCAGGTTTATTTGGTGTGTGGGATGAGGTGGGGGCGTTAGCTCCTTTTCTGATGGCTGACAGTCTTCTTGAATTCTGTAGGTATTGAGCATGAGCAGGCTAGGAGCTCCTGGAGCAGTTCTTCCCCTTCTTAGGGAATCTCAAACCGAGGTGTGCAGCTTTCCTATTTCTTTATGTTTCCAAACAGAATCCTTGTTAGAAAGACTAGTTGAATGTAGGCTGTGCTATGTTAAAAGATTGTAGAGCTATGGAAACAAGTCAATTTATTTTAACCTCAGTTTTTTCCCCTTAAATTACATTTAGATACATAACAAATAACATCAGTCCAAATATTCATGACCATTCCATGATTTCATATGAACATTGGCTTGCCTTTATTAATTTATTTGCTCTGTGAGATTAGTTTTGAATTGCCCATTATTGCGACCATTGGCATCAAGATAGGACAAACGAAGATATACCTTTGCACTTGTGTACGAGGGGAACAAAACCTTCTGTGATCAAAACTGCTTATGCATTGTGCCATTATGCTTCAATAATCAATACTGCTTAACTTTTTTTTGTGTGTTCTGATTAAATTAATAAGATAACTAACCAAAACTTGTGCTTTCTTGGGTTGGCATCTTAATTGGCTACATTATAAATAATATATTATTTATATGTAGTGCAACATATGCATATCCAGTTTCAAGTTTTCGACATCCTAGATCAGTTCTACCATAATATTGTAGCCTACTGGAAGAATCTTTCTGTGCATTGTAGTCCCAATTTATATCCGAGATTTGCTCCTCTGGTTTTCATTGAGTTTACTTAAATATGTAATAACTGATGGGGCCACAATTCACCTGGATCTCACTATGTCTGAAATAACCATCTACTCATTGAACTTCTGCAGTGCCATAGTAATCCATCTCTATCAGCTTCAACCATTTCACAAGGGCCACCAGACATGCCAGACTCAGAAGACAGCTCTGCCTTTGAGCAAGAGGTAGTGAAGCTGATGGAAACGAGCATCATCAGCGCGATGCAGTATCTTCAGAACAAGGGTCTCTGCCTGATGCCCATTGCTCTCGCTTCGGCCATATCCAACCAGAAAGGCATGGCTGCTGCTGCTGCAATCCCTCCTGAAAAATGAAAAAAAAAATGAAATCGGAAAAATATGGGGGGAACAACTGCAGAAGACATAATAACTCAACGGCTGCAGAAATGTGCTGGACACTGCAGGTTTTGTGAATGAAGTGAAATCCAATCCAGGGGGTCATAAAACATAGGAAGTTATCTGACTAATTCAGGCTTATGACACAATCTACTCTATAGTCTATAGCTATTGTGTGCCTGTTGCACATCAGTTGATGTGTATTCTTTTGTTTTTTTTGTATTGCATCCGGATGCTAATTAGGTAGTAGTGTTTCCTTTGATGTACATGAGTATTATCTATGCGGTTTTATCTAATGTGCATATAAAGTAAAATCTGGTATGTTGCTGCTAGCTTATGGTCATATTTGGGGAAGTTTCTATAGAAAATTTTTGCAAACCACGCGCACGGTAAACGAGAAAGTGAGAGAAAGTGAGACTGGGAACTTAGAACCGAAGAACGCAGCCTAAGTCTTTGTCACCTCTCAACCCAGTTCAGGTACTGCACAGGAACCAAATCCCCTTCAAATTATTACTCCCTCCCTTTCACAATACAAGCGATTTTAAGTTTTTACTTGCAACGTTTGACCACTTGTCTTATTCAAAAAATTTTGAAATTATTATTTATTTTATTTGTGACTTACTTTATTATCTACAGTACTTTAAACATAATTTTTTATTTTTTATATTTGTAAAAAAAATTGAATAAGACGAGTAGTCAAACGTTGCAAGTAAAAACTCAAAATCCCTTGTAGTGTGGGACGGAGGGAGTAGCATTTCACAATCACATGTACTCCTTCCGTCCTATTTTAAGTGTAGCGACATTTAAGCATCTGTCTTATTTGAAAATTTTATGAAAAAAATAATAAAAAGTCATACATAAAATATTATTCATGTTCTATTATCTAATAGTAATAAAAATACTAATTATAAAAATATTTTAAATAAAACGGACGGTTAAATGTTGGACAGAGAAACTCACAACTGCATTTAAAATAGGACGGAGAGAATAACTTAGATCATTTGCAAAGGTAAAACAACACTTAAAAGTAAAACCTGAATAATTATACTTTACACGCTTCAACAGTAAAATGTCCATGTTTATAAGTAAATTATGCTGCGACATATAAAAGCAAATATGGACAATTGAAACACAACAACAGAAGAAGGCAGGGGAACACTTTAATCATTCATGCGGTTGCGAATTTCTTCAGGTAGTTAAATGCGCCAACAGAAAAAGGAAAAGAAACGCCTGATGTGACATGACTAATTGACTACTTGCCTCCCTCATTTCAAATCAAGTTTGTTTGGATTGGGATAGTAGACATTATCATTTTGCTTAAAGTAGTTTTGTATAGTAGGATCAGGATATTATGATATTTTTTTAAGTTTAATTAATATTTATATTAATTACATATAGCCATTATATATAAAAAATACAGTAATAATATATGTCATGCAAATAGAGATATTTATTAAGAGAAATCATATTGGTTTTGATATATTAAACTGATTTTTATATAAACTAGAGCATATTTATTTACATTATTTTCAAACCATCTTATTTTAAATAATATTTTATAGTATCATAGGGATCGTGGAATCAGGATACTACTTAAGATTTCGTAGGATCGTACAGTAATGAATTGTAGGATCGTGATACTATGAAAATTAGGATACTAGGTGAGATCGGTATCATTTTACCTTGATAGGATCGTAGTATCATAAGATATTAAAATACGAATCGGGATACTAACAACCTTGTTTTGAAATCGCCTACAATAGCATCATTAGAGAGTAGTAAAAAGCTATTAAAACAGATGGACCGCTGAGTACTCCATCCGATTTATATTGATCGTAATATAAGTTTTTCACTAAGATAAGAAAAGCACTTAACTTCTTTGTATTTCATTCAACTAGAAAAAAAACCCGTGCGTTGCAACGGATGAAATCCATTTTAATCTTATTTTTTATATGGTTTAATTAAGATGAAATTCATCGTGAGAATTCGCTTAGATACATATATTTTTAGAAAAATCATGAGCTGCAGTTAGGAGTCCGTTCGTCTAAAGTTAGCATGCGAGTTTTCTTATACAACTCCTTATGTATTTCCAAAAGTGAATGAACTTAAAACCAACTCAAATACGGATATGTATTTCCAAAAGCGAACGAACTAAAAACCGACTTATACATAGATGATGTAACAAAGTATCGGTAAAAACATCTTTATTTTTTATAATAGGAGAGATATGAATATGTGGTATACAGATTTTAACTCCTCCACATGCATAAACGAGCGCTTAACTACCTAAATATATGTATGCATGTATAAATGCAATATGTCGCATGTCTAACAAAGGGATCAAGATTATACGACGATCAATTTAAAAATTCTTATTTTTTATGTGATAATAAATATGGAATAGAGGGAGTATATCATTTTGATGTATAATTTAAGAGTACATACTCTCTCAATCTCTCTCTCTCCCCCTTTTTAAATACGAGGCGGAGGTGGCGGAGCAAGGGGCAGGTGGAGGCTGTGGCGGTGGGAGAGGGAGAGGGAGAGGTAGCGAGTGGGAAGAGAGGGAAAAAGGTGGAGGATGCGGGCGGCGCTGCTGACCGGCTTCTCCATCACCACTATCCCCTCCACCAGCCGTCAGACCACCGGATTCGCTGGCCACGAACTCGCCGCTATCAAATCCGATGGCCTTGAGGCCTGGCCATCGGATCTGGCTTCTCCAACAGCGGCGAGCAGCTAGACGGCGGCGGTGGTAGTGGAGGTGGAGGCGGCGGCGCAGGGGGAGTCGACGGTGCGAGTAGAGGCGGAGGCGGCGGCGGGAGGCGACGGGGATGACGATGGGGATGACATGAGACAGAGACGGAGGCGACGGCGACAGGGGAGGGGGGAGGGGGAGGCGGCGGCGGCGCGAGAGGGGCAGAGGCAGCACGCGGTGGCGTGAGAGAGAGGGAGAGGGTGAAAAATGAGAGGGAGGAAGCAGCGGTTAGTGGGTGCCAATTTGCGAAAGCCCCTCGGTTTCCTATTTTTACAGTGCAGCCCTAATTCGTGATTTTTCTCTCCTTCGCAGGATTATCTAGCTTTTATAAGGGCTTAAATGTAAAATATCAACATAGAGGAACTGTTAGTGAGGGATTTAGATCAAATTACGTACAAACTAAAGGGTTTTTTTATAAAATTTCCAACACGCACTATAGCTATCCGACGTGGACACCACGAGAAACGACCTGAGGCGCCGGCCTTGAAGAGGTAAATGAGTGTTTTTCGTTATGAGTCTAAACTAATTATGAGTATTTTCGTTATAAATCTGGATAAGTGTTTTGTCTATATTTATAATTATAAATGCTTATATTTAAAAGTGAATGTAGCACATACATAATTAAGACTGTCAATTTTGTTCCGATATCAATTGAAATGGCCGGAACGAACTGTTCCCCCATCCAAAATTGCACACGCCAAGCGGCCTAACGTTTTGGTCACCAACACGAGTAATTTCGATGAATTCCAGCAGTTTAAACCCACTCCAGCCATTTCATCCGGTGGCCGCTTGTTTGATTGAGTCGAAATATCCAGCCAAATTTAAACTTGCTTTCGAGTTATTACTGGAGAAATAAGGTCCTTAAACTTGAATATTTTTGTGAATGTTATATATATTGATCAATTCATATTATTTATTCCACCAATATCAATCAGTACAAGCGAAAGGGCATGTAACCTAGTAGTTACAAGAGCCTCAGTAGCACATGAGGTCCTGGGTTCGACTCTCCCATGAGAGCGAATTTTTCAGGATTTATCGGCGTTGTGGCTGAGTGCGCGTGCGTTGTGAGTGTCTACGTTGTACTGTGTATTCTAAAAAAAATATCGGTTTACTTAGGGGTTATTCAGATTGATGTCATTTCAAACCATACCATTTTTGGTATGTTGTCAAATATATACATCCATTTAGTTTTTTATCAAACTCTGTTAAATACATAAGAAATCCTGCTAAAACTTAGTAATATTGCTAAATTATCAAAATATCAAAATTTGGTAAGGTTTATTTTGGTTACGGACCCTTAATTAGAATTGCAAAAGCAAGGTTTAATTTGGGTACAGATTACCAATACTATTACTGCACAAACCATCGACCCTCTTAATTTGGGTACGTTGCCAATACTATTACTGCACAAATCATCGACCCTCTTAGATAGTATGATGGCTAACTACTTGTTTATTAAGTTGTGCACGTCACAGGATAAGGTTAGCCATTGGACTGTATGGTTGATTAAGAAACATTATCAACAGCTGTAATGATAACAATTTGCGACTTATCACTTATATGAGGTAATGGCCAGGGGTCCCCCAACCCATTGGGGAGAGATTCAGCCATAAAACCATTAGATGCGCATTGCTTCCGTTTACCGATCAAAACAAGAAAAACTACAGGCGATAATTTTTTATTTTACTTTTACAAGGATCGGTTTGGAAGGCATTTTGTTGGCTACAACTATTATTATAATCCAAAGACAATGCAGCTAATATCCAGGTGCATTAGTCAGAATTGCATTATTATTATTTTGGATGAAGGTAGTATAACCGCCCCTGCCCCCTCAAAAAAAAAATCTAAAGTGAAGTTTTAAAATTCAAATTTCGCAACGGCTCAAGCAAGCACTTATGCATACACAGAAGCATGACTTTATAAACATTAAAAGAAATTATGACAAGCAGAACTTTAAATACTCCTTTAGAATTGAATGATTGAAGTGCTTCCTGTGTTCTTTTCAATTGTCCATATTTTCTTTTAAAAGAGTATAAAACAGTAACAGGGCAATTCAATTGTCCATATGGATCGGCTCTAACCTACGATAAAATAATTCTTAGCTGTTCCGAAAATAATACAATCTAGTCAAGGCAATATAGTATTACCCATATACTCTTAGCCAGTCACGCAGAGCGACGAAAACAAAAAAGAAACCCGTAAATTAATTCTAAAATGAAATGTCAAAATTCAAATTTGGCATACACAGAAATATGACTTTATAAGCTTAATAGAAAGCATGGCCTACAATAAGCAGCATTTTAAATATAAAACAGTGACAGGTCATTGGGACGAACCGGATGTAACCTGCAATAATAAAACCTTTTGTTCCTCCATGATTATAACACCCTACCCTACTCCTTCCCCCACTATATTTAGTCTCTGCAGAAAGCTGAACACCAAACCTTCTCAGCACAAACCAAAATGGCAGCCAGGAGCTCCCTCCATCCTTCCTCCATGGCCAGCATCCCAAGATTAATTGGCACCAGGAAGGCAGCCCTAAGGTTCAGAGCTCCTGCCCATGGCGGCACCAGCTCATCACAGCTTTCCATCGCTGCAGCAACTGCTAACAAGAAGGTAATTATGATCAAGAAAGTATACATACATATAGTATATGTTTTCCTCCAAGCAAGGAGAGTATATGAGTGATCTTGTCTTGATTAACTTTGCTTCTGAATTTTCTTGTCGGAATTTTCAGGTGTTTGAGGACCAGTTGAGAGGGATTGTGTGCTACAGAGATGACAAGGGAGAGATGGTCTGTGAAGGGTATGATGAAGGTCCAAGGCTCGGAATGCGGCTGCCGGAGAAGGCCTGCTTCCCATGGTAATTGCCAACATCTGAATTTACTGAATTTTTCCTGACATGCTGAAAGGAGAAAGAAGATTAGCATATGTTGCCTGATGAGGATTTTGTTGTCTGATGGGATTTGGTTTTGGTTGTCTAATGATCATGCTTGCTTCTGTTCCTCTGAAGAACAGGCCTATGGAGGTTCAGATCACTGATTTCATTGAGCTGGCGACGTTCCGGGTCTTCGAAGATGCCGATGTTCTTCAGATCAAGAATGATCAGAAGAGGCAGATCTGAGAAGAACTGATCAATGATCATGTAGTGCAAGGCAGTAGTTGTATAGAAATGCTCATGTGTAAGAATAATTTTCAAGGTATGGAATTCAAGTACACTGAAGAGGCAGTTCTGATGTAGTTCTGTACCCTCTCTCTCTCTCTCTCTCTCTCTCTCTCTCTCTATATATATATATATATATATATATATATATATATATATATATATATATAGTTTGGCTAATTTTTCAGATTTAGAATTCTGTGCTTTTAAAAACAGTAAATTGGTTCATGGAGAACTTGTAAATTTGTCCTTGTGAAGCAATCAAGATTCAGAACAGATATTCTGACCTGTTTGGCTATTTCTCATTCTGCTGGGAATAACACTTTTGTGCACGATCATTTCAATCATTGCTAGCATCATCAGCTGGTGAGTTTGATTAAGAAAAACTCCAATAGAGATGAAGAGATTGGCTCCCACTGGCAGTTAATTAGTGAGACTCATGTGCCCATGTGAGTCTGAACTCTGAAGTTGGTGCCTCAGAGTTATCTGAATGTAACTCTGAAGTTGGTATTATCTAAAAAAAAAAACTCTGAAGTTGGTGGCTCAGAGTTATCTGAATGTTGACATCCTTCGAGACATTCAGAGTGTACTACCCATTAACATTCTTTTACAGCGTGTCGTGTCATCATCAATAGTCAGCTTCAAGAACAACCATTATTAAGCTTCAGAATCTGTAGCAAGAATTAGCATAAGATAGATATTTATAACGCCACATTTTCATTAAAAAACAACCAATTAGTTTTTACACTTTAAATTACACTGTAATTTTTCAAATAGACAATATATAATAGAAATAATATTACAAGTAGTGTATTGTCAACTTGGAAGAGGAGATAAGAGAGGTAGAACCATACTTATACATACTCCGTAGTTTTCCTCAAAATATAGGGTAGAGAGCGCAATTACGTAGGAAAAAAATTAACTCAAATATAAATGAAATATATGTCGCTATGTTTTTGGCAACCCCTTTAATATAATTTACAACCATTATTACTGAAATTTGTTAGGATTTTTGTGTCGTAAACAAAACAGGGTAATTCTGCATTTTTGCAGTTTACAGTTCCACGGATTTACTCTGAAACACGGTAATTAATTAACGGCTGCATTGTTGAGATTTACGCGTGGTAATAATTCATTAATACAGGTGTAGTAATAGTGCAATACTACAATGCATTGATTGGACATGGATTTCGTCGGTGACAATGCTCGTACGGTTAGACGTCGTCGTCGTAGGGGAAGGAGGTGGCGGCGAGCCACTGGTCGCCGGAGATGAGGTTGTCGACGGAGAACTGGGCCGCCTCGTCGTAGCCCATATCATGGAACCCGGCCCATCCGACGCGGCCGTCCATGGCGGCGCCCGGCCCGCCATTCCCATACTCACCGAAGTACACCGTCTCGGCGCGGCCGGGCTCGGCGCCGGGCCACTCGACCCAGCCGGCCCGGTCGACGAGCGGGCCGAGGTAGGAGTCCATGACGACGGCGCGGGCGTAGGGCCGCCACGGCCGGCCCAGGAAGGTGCGCGTGCTGACGCCGCTGGCGAGGAGCTCCGGCGAGGCGACCACCGTGCAGTTGTGCACGGAGAAGCCCGTGTCCTCGTTGGGGTCGCCGCGCGCCTGCGCCGTGAGGACGTTGGACTGGCCGGCGACGGGGGCGCCGGCGACGAGCTCGCACGCCTGGAGGACGGCGGCGGCGTCGCCGAAGACGAGGTCGACGGTGCCGGAGACGGCGCACTCGCGGTAGAACTGGCGGAACGAGTGCGCGTAGAGAGAGTCCTGGTGGCCCTCGACGCCGCACCGGTACGCCGCCGCCATGTCCGCGCTCACCCGCAGCGCCACCGCCTGCCCCTTCGCCGCCCCCGCCGTGTTCCGGAACGTCACGTCCCGAGCCATGAACCCTTCGCCTGACACCCCTGCATTGCATGTGCATGACGTCACCTTTGTCAGCGACTCGTCGTCGAATCCGTCTTGGACGCTAGCTAGCTACGCGTGCTGACATTCTGACAAGTGACAGCAAATATCTAAGCTCAAAGATGCTTAGATCCATGGAGATCATGTCAGTTGTAGATAGATTTTTTTTTGTGTCCTTTGTGTATGGCATTTAAAAGGTCATTATTTTTTTAAAAAAAAAGTAGGATAGATTAATTTATGAGATATGTCATTTTACAGACATACAAGTATATAATTAAAAATAACAAATTTAAGCATAAATTATACTCCTACGTTCTATTCAAAATCTAATTTATTTCTTCTACTCGTATAAGTTGAATTTCAACCTACTTATTTATCATGTAACTAAATTATTTTAATTTTTTGATGATTTTTTTTAAGTAACATACAAACGGCTGCATCAGTGTGAGAACATGCACGTGATCGGTAGGCCAAATATTTGTGTCACGCCCACTGCGGAGTGGGACCCACGTGAGGCATCGTCGCGTGCATGCATGCAGAGAGCGAGCCAGGATGGATCGCACGTTCCCAATCCGATAGGCGATAGCTTTGTGTCACGGGATGCTTTGCTGTTTACGAGGTGTGGGGGATTTCATTTACCGAAGGTGGCGGAGCGGAAGGTGGTCCAGCCGTCGGCGGCGCTGCGGCTGCCGGTGATGACGGTGGCGCCGCGGCCGTCGCCGACGAGGGCGATGTTCGTCTTGTACGGTGGCACCTCCACGTTCTCCTCGTACGTCCCGGCCCTCACTCGGATCACCGTCCTCGCCGCGCTGTTGTTCGGCGCCGCCGCCACCGCCTCCCCCACCGTCCGGTAGTTCCCGCTCCCGTCCTTCGCCACCGTGATCACCACCGTGTTCTCGCCGGAGTTGTTGCTGTTGTCGTCGTCGTCGTTCCCGCCGTTGTAGTCGTCGTTGTCGTCGTCGTCGAGGAGGCGGCGGTTGTGGTGGATGATGTTGGCGACGGCGGCGGCGAAGCTCGCCGCCGATCCGCCCCCGCCGCGGCGGCCGGCGACGAGGGAGAGGGAGTTGGTGACGTGGGCGTAGGCGTCGTCGAGGGACGCGAGGAGGCCGGACGACGGCGCGGCGCCGTCGAGCCCGTCGAGGCAGGTGGCCTTGTTGGCGAGCGCCGCCGCGAGGTGGGCGCGCACGGCGGGGAGGCCCTCGCCGGGGGACGCGAGCAGCGAGGCGGACCGCGACAGGGAGGCGAGCGTGGCGGCGTGGAGCTCGAGGCAGTCCTGCGCCGCGCCGCGCCGGAGCGGGGACGCGCCCGACGACGGCGGCGAGAGCGCGGAGGAGAGCGCCGGGGAGAGCGACGACACGGCGGCGAGCGCGCCCCGGAGCGACGCGAGCGCGACGGACAGGATGTTCGGCGGGAGCAGCTGCACCGAGATGGCCGACGCCGCTGCCACCACCTCCGCGGAGACGGCGTCGAGGTGCGCGGCCGTCGACGCGAGGCAGGAGTCCTGGTGCGGCGTCGTGCGGCAGACGGCATGGACGTCTGTCACCCCCGGCGTGGCCGCCGCCGCCGCGGCGCCCTTGGCGGCGACGGCGTGGTGGCGGTGTCGCTTGCCGTGACGGTGGCATTGCGTGGTGGTCGCCGTGGCGAGGAGGAGGAGGAGGAGGACGGCGACGAACACAACCAGACGTGGCGAGATCGCCGCCATGGCTAAGCTAGCTCGAGTACTCGACTGAGAGTGAGCTTGATGAGCTTTCTTCACAACACGGATAGATCGATATATATGGTCAGGTTTATTAAGGTTTTAGGCGAGTGTTACTGCATGTGGCAAGTAGTGATTAGTGTACTAAATAGGCTAGCTAGTGACAACTAGTGTTGCAATACATGCCATTTTGTACTAGGCTACTAGATGGATAGAGGTGTCGGTTTGTTGCTACTTGCGCGAGTACACTCAAAGCTAGCTCCAAACTGTTGCTGAAATTCTTGTAGGGGGAAAAGGGATTATCATCAGTAGCTAAGACAGCTAATGACAATGCGACATGCACATGTGCACCATGTCATTGACTCATTGGCTCGTTGTGCGAGACAAGTCGTCGAATTCCAGCGTACGCGCCGCGCGTTGCCGTCTCGCGGAGGGGAGGAGAGGACGAGTGGGCGGCGACGCGACGCACTAACCGTCCAAACGAACAAACACACAAGACGGAGATCTCGAGCGGCAATTTTTCCTGCGGTTCGCCGTTGCAACCACACGATTTATCGAGGAATAAGTACATTTTGACTCCCTTAAAAAATTGATAGGGAGAGGATGACTTGTGGGGCCCATATGTCAATGGGCCCTATAATTTTTTATGTGTGTGAATGACAAACGGTCCCACGTATGCGTTTTTAATTCAAATGCCACTTAAGCGTCACGTCAACCCTACAGACTAGGTCAACACCCTCCAAACCAAGGGAGTTAAATTGCACCGGTTTCAATAGTTCGAGGGTCGAGATATCCGGTTTTATGGTTTAGGGTTATGGAATGGATTCGAATCACTTTAAGGGAATCGAAATGGACTTATTCCATTTATTGAAGATCTTCACTGGGCCATGATGAGAGTGCGAAGTGCAATGCATATATATGGGCATGTCTTATTTTTTGGAAAAAGTACACCAGAGGTCCCTCAACTTGTCATCGAGTTACAAAATCGTCCCCCAACCACAATTACTCCACAATACTAGATATCCGGCGTCCCCCAACTACAAAACCAGTGCAAACTAGGTCCCTCGGCGGTTTTGAGTCCGGTTTTGTCTGATGTGGCAATTGACTCAGCATAGAACCCACGTGGGCCCCACGCGTCAGCCTCTTCTTCAACCCCCCCTCTCCACCTCTCTTCCTCTCCCTTCTTCACGGGCGCCGGCGGGCGGAGCATTTGCACGGGCGGCAGCTAGCGGGCGCAGGCGGCAGGGGGAGAAGCCACGCACGGGCGGCGGGCGGTGGGCGGTGGAGTGGCGCACGGGCGGACGACGGAGCGGCTCTCGAGCGGCGGGCGGAGGGCGGACAGCGGAGCGGCGCTCGGGCGGAGACAAGGCAGAAGGGAAGGGCGGCGGCAGCGGGAGCACGGGGGAGATCGAAGTTCGAAGAGGACGACCTCAAGCACGGCAGCGAGTAGAGTGGGGTGACGGCGAGGCGGAGCGGAGCGGCGGTGACAGGAGCAACTCACCGAGGGCGCCGTCAGCTTCGCAAGGGTAGCACGACGACAGACGCACGAAGGGAGATGGGAATCCAACGAAGGATGTCGGGGTCGTCGGCGGCGGCGGCGGTGACCCAAACGGGAAGCATGGGGACGGCGCCGCTGAGGGAGCCGTGGAAGTGGAGCGTGACATGAAGGCAGCTGCTGCCACCGCCTCCGCAGTCGGTGTCGTCGCCCATGCAGCGGTTGCCGCTTCACCGTCCTCCCGCGCGCCACTTCGCCACCTGAGCGCCGCTCTGCCGTCCGCCCACTGCCCACGCATGGCTTCTCCCCCCCCCCCCCCCCCCGCGAGCGCCGTGAAGAGGAGAGAGGAAGAGAGGTGGAGAGGGGAGGGGAAGAAGAGGCTGACGTGTAGGGCCTACGTGGGTCCTACGCTGAGTCGGCTGCCACATCAGATAAAACCAGAGTCAAAACCGTCGAGGGATCTATTTTGCACTGGTTTCATAAGTTGAAGGATGCCGGATATCTCGTATTGTGGTTGGGGGATGATTTTGTAACTCGATGACAAGTTGAGGGACCTCCGGTGTACTTTTTCCTTTTTTTTTCTGTCCAGATTGATACATCGCCCAACGCGGCAGTTGGGCTGGGCTCGATTCAACCAAGTATGGTTATGAAGGTTATGTTTGGTGTATGGGCCATTTTGGTTTGGTGCCAATTATTGCCCTACCAATTCTTTAATAGTTTTGAATAGTGCATATTAGCATTTTGGATTGAAGCCAATTTTTGCCACATCAAAAGAGTGGAGTCAAATCTATTCTATCAAAAATTTGGTGGTACCAAAATTTGCCCAAGGTTTGGTACTACCAGTATTTTGGTAGTGTTTCAAACCAAACAAGCCCTAACTCTATCTCTACTATTATAAAAATTGAAGATGTTTCTGCGGTCCGTCATCCGTATTTGAGTCGGTTATAAAAATTGAAGATGTTTCCGCGGTTCGTCATCCGTGTTTGAGTGGGTTATAAAAATTGAAGACGTTTTTGCCGGTATTTTGGTACGTCATCCTTGTATGTGTCAGTTTTTAAGTTCGTTTGCTTTTGGAAATATATATTTGTATTTGAGTCAGTTTTTAAGATCGTTCACCTTTGATAATACATAAGGAATCATATAAGAAATCTGTTTAATATATATATATATATATATATATATATATATATATATATATATATATATATATCCAAGCGAACTCACACAGTAAATTTCATCTTAACTAAACAATATCTCTACTACTTAAAAAATACGAGGTGCTTCCATCGTCCGTAAAAAAACCGTGGGAGAAAAAAACCGTGCGAAAAAAATCGGGCGAAAAAAAAACTATGTCCAATAAAAAAAGGACAAAACAAAAAAAAATCCGCGGACGAAAAAAACCAAAGTCCGATAAAAGGGCGAAAGAAGGGAAAAACCGGAAAAAAAGAAAAAAAAAGTCCGATCCAAAAAAAAGTAGGGGCGAAATAAAGGAAAAAAAAGAAACTAATCTGACTCGGTCTACACGGTAAAAAAGGGCGAAAAAAGGAAAAAAAATTAAACAAATCCGACTCTGTCGACACGGTAAAAAAAAAGGGCCAAAAAGAAAAAAGTATATGTCCGATACCAAAGAAAATCGAATCCTATTATATGTGACATGGCGTGGTAAAAAAAATCGAATCCGATTCCATCGACGCGGTAAAAAACAAGCGTAAAATTTTTTTCTGTGCGATTCCAAAAAAAAAGTTGCGAAAAAAGTTTTCCGTTTCTCTTTCTCTATCTCTATCTCTACTACTTAAAAATTAAAAAGTGTTTCTGTTGTCCATCCGTGAAAAAAAGCGTGAAAAAGAAATCAGCGAAAAAAATCGAATCTAATTATATGTGATGCGGTAAAAAAATTAAAGACGTTTCTGACATCCGTAGTAACGAAAAAAGGGCGAAAAAAATGAAAAAAAAGGAAAGTCCGATTCAATATCTATGTATACCTAATTAAAAAAATTTGTATGGCTTGTGGGTTATAGAAATTCCATCACACGTGCGATCGATCCCGCTTTAATCCCTCTCCGATGGCAAAAAAATAAAAAAAGAAAAGAAAAAAAAAATGAGAGACTGCATCAAATTTGGACCTAAATTCTAAAGAAAACACTACTACAAGAATACAAGATCAGATTCAAGAACACCAAGAAAACGCCGACGCCGGAAGGGGAGGGTGTCGCCATCGCTGCTGAACCGCCACCGCCGTCGTAGGGATGTCGGTATGTCAGGCTGCCGCCACATTGTTTTGAGAGAGAGGGGGGAGGGGAAATGATTTTAGGGTTAGGGTTTGGGCTGTTGAACTTTTATATAGGTCGGGATGACCGTCTATCAGATCGGACGGCTCTGGCTTCTCCCGCGTCAGGCCGAACGCCATTCCCAGGCCGCCCACACGGAATAAGTTCACTTTAGGTTGTTTAAGTTGTTCCTCCCCGATTCTATTCCCAGGCCACCCACACTATTGGGCCGCCTCATGGACCATGTGTACTCTCCGTATGGAACAAGTTCACTTTAGGTCACTTTAGCTGAACTTTTTTATTTCATTATAAATATATTTTCTTAAAGAGCTCATATCATGTAAAACTAAACCTTAATCATATAATATTTTTATATTTGTTATAATTTTAATTACCCATCACAACGCACAGGCATTTTTTCTATGTTAAAAAAAAGACCACGACATACGAGTGAGAGATATATACCACACACACCCGCAGGCTCATCTTTAACTGAACTAGCAACAGATTTTCAATTACAGGTCTAATTGTTTTATTTAGGTGATTAAATTTGTTTTCATTTATATAATTAGTTTGCTCTATTTAAGCTTTTTGAAAATTGCTAAAATTTGAGAATAACTTTCCTACTTCGTATTATATTATTTTTAGCTAATGGAATTAATGGAAAATTAATTATATATTTTTATCTTTTTGACCAAAGGTCACTGCAATTTTATTTCATTAATAATAATATTATTATTATGATTCCTTTATTTTTTTTCCCATCAGTATACATGATTAAAATTACCTTTACCCGTTGCAACACACGGGCATCATTGCTAGTAACAATAATAAGATTAAAATAGACTTCACATGTTGTAACACACGAGTATTTTTTTTTTAGTATTATCAAAATCAGACTACCAAACTTTAGTTCAAAACACACCTATTATAATTATATGTAAGTTTGACTTTTCTTAGTAATAAAATATTTTGAACACAAAATAAACATGTTATCAATATATATACAATGTTAGATATAGATAATTTTTTATATAAAATTAATCAAACTTAGAGAGATTTAACTAAGAAAAATCAAAGCGATATATAATATGAAACAGGTAAGTATGAAAACACAGTGGTAATGGGAATCGTCGATTTACTCCGTATGTGTTATCCGGTTAATAATCAGAAAAGAAAATTTAGCACAACAATCATTTGAATGCATATTCTTGTGTAGCAGGGAAAAACTAGAAAAGATTTTTTTTTTCAAAACAGAAAAACAAAAGGAAACAAACTCTTTCTCTTTTTTGCCAAAAAATAAAAAAACGGAAACAAACTCTGTGTCCAGCAAATCGAGTCCATGACGAACCAAAAACGTGATGAAAAAGAAAAGTCAGCAAACGCGTCCCCTACATCCGACCACACACCGGCAACCCGCACGAATCTCAAAGCACACCCCCCGCGCCCTAATAAAATCCCCACGACCAAATCCCAACCAAGTTTATTTCCGTCGACACCCCAAAAAAAAAAAATCCCCACCCGATTTCTCTCTTTTTTTTTTCCTCCTCTTCCGCGAGCTCTTCCCCCCTCTCTTCTCTCTTTTTCTCCCCTCTCCCCGGGGAAACGCGGCGGCCGCCGATCCCGATCCCCCCCACCGCCGCCGCCGCCCGATCCGACCAAATCCCCACTACGCGTCCCAATTCCGGGCCAATTCGACCCCCCGAGCGACCGCCATCTACTCACCTCCCGATCGATTCGGATCCCCAATCTAGCGGGCGCGGGGCGGGGCGGGGAGGCGGGATTGGGCTAGGGTTTTGTGGGGGATTGGTGTATTGGATTAGGTGATGGCGGAGAAGGGATGCCTCAAGCGCCTCCAGAAGGAGTACCACTCGCTCTGCAAGGTGAGGCTCTCCGTGTGGATTGGATTTGATTGGATTGTGTTGATGCGATTGGTTTCGATGCGATTCTGATGGTTTTGTTTCGGTTTTGGGTGGTCGGATTGCAGGAGCCGCCGCCGCAGATCGTGGCTCGCCCGCTGCCCAACGACATATTGGAGTGGCGTAAGTATCTTTTTCTTTTTCGCTTATTACAACACTAGACTAGATTGATTCGTCGTCTGTTAACTTGTTAATGTGTGGAGTGAACGGCTAATTGCTCTTGTTATTCTAATCGATCGATACGCTTACGGTTTATGTACCGTAAAGAGTGAATTAGATGTGTTTTTTGTGTTATTGTTATGTTTCCAGACTCATGTTGCTGCGTGCTTTTCGCAATTTAGCTTTCTTGTATAGGTTGGCCTAGTGCAGCAAGACTATATGAAGTTCAGACTCATGGGACTTAATCTGTGTTGTGTTAATTTTGAATGTGAACATCTGTTTATTTTGTTGGAGTTATGACTTTGTTCTTTTGACGAGAACATCAGTCACCTAGTTCAAATAGGGGATTGGATTGCTCGTATTATAGGTCTTGGTGAAATAATTTCAGGTGAATTAGTCGAATTTGGTTTTTGGATGTTAATTCCACCTTTTCTCAACTTTCGGGAGACAAAACACTGATTGGTCTCCCACATGTTGCTTTACAAAAAGAACTAAACTCTTGGAGATTATTCCACATGAATTCCTATCAGTTGTTGTGAACTAGCTCCAGATTGGTCTCCCACTGCCTATTTTTCTATAGTCAAATGCTCTTGTGATTGGGAGGTCAATAATCGCTCATCAGCACATATTTTGAGGGAACATGGGAGGGAAAGCAGGCTGTACCTCAGATTTTCAATAGTGGAAAGTATTCTTATTTTGCATAAATGATATAGATTTAGGAGGAGAGTGCACGCAGGCACCAGGGGTTCTCAAACAGAATGAGAAAGGATTATTAACACATAGAAAGTTCAGTTTAAAATGCTTTCAAATAGAGGTCATACATGGTCATGCCAGAACGTTTGTATGATTAAGACTAGTTGCTAGAGCGTTGGTGTGATTGACTAGTTGTTTTTGTATTTAAGGGCATGGGCATGGAGATATTGGTTTTGTTGATTGACTAGCTGCTAGAGCGTTTGTGTGATTGACTAGTTTTTGTATTTAAGGGCATGGGCATGTGGTCCAAGAAATATTTGATGCATTTGTTGGATTTATTCATTCGGCAATCATGCAATAACTCATACAGTTGTGCCACTGTCTCACCTCATTATGTGAGGCATTGCTCTATGGCCCATTCTGGTTAGTGGGCTCCATTACCCCCATCTCCTCCCATATGTTGTTGACGTACATGCTTTGGTCACCGGCTCACCGCTAGGTTTTGCACTGACTCAACTATAATGATGTGATACATTGCACTCGTGGTAATACGATGTTGTACTTCTATTTACTATCACAATTACCATTTGCCACGACAAACATGATAAATATTATTTACAGTTTTGTATAATTATGGCCCTCTGCTAATTTATGGTAAGCCTACTAGGCTAATACATAGCATACCCTCAGGTCGCCTATATTTCTATTTCCTATCAAGCTTGTATTAGGTATTAATTTTGCATTTTTCTTTATATTCCAGATTTTGTACTTGAAGGTAGTGCTGGCACACCATTTGAAGGTAAAGATTACACAAACTCAAAACAATCTTCTATACATTCTATTACATTTCAGCTAGCACTTCACTAATCAATTTATCTGTAACAATATTTTCACATTTGATTTCTTCTCCATAGGTGGATATTATTACGGGAAACTCAAATTTCCACCTGATTACCCTTTTAAGCCTCCAAGCATCAGGTAATGGAACTTTATTTTGTAATATTGAATTACTGAAATTGAAGGAATGCTTACAATGTGATAGAAGAGTTATACGTATTTGGGATTAGTGAACATTTTGAAACTTTGGTTTTCATATCTGACTTGTTTTATTGGGATTAGTGAACACTTTGAACTTTGGTTTTGCATATCTGACTTGTTTTATTGTTCAGCATGACAACTCCTAGCGGAAGGTTTGCCCCTCACAAAAGAATATGCCTATCAATGAGTGACTGTAAGTTAATATGATCATATTTTTTTTACTTTATTATATGCAAGGTTTATCCCGTGATCAGATTATGATTACTTTTATATTTAATGATTTGAAACAATTTCCATCACTTTTAATTTATTATGTTTTTGCAGTTCATCCGGAATCTTGGAATCCTATGTGGTCTGTGGCAAGGTATGTACAAATCTGTACTAAGCACAATATTTGAGCATAACGTATTTCCCACCATTATCTGGGGAGTTGTTGGGCTGAGTCGTCATTCAAACTTAAGAGATATCTAGACCAGTTTACATCTTTCCATTCTTGTAAAGAACATGAAGTCATGCTTGTGTGGTTCCTTGGGAGTCGATGTAGGTGAACAATAATGGCATATTTTCTAAGCATGAAACTTATTATGATAGCATAGATCCAATTAATCCTTCTATTTAATAGTGAGATGTGTGGACTCTAAATCATCAAAATGTAGTTCCACTGCTCTAGTGATATATGTAGTCTGTAGTTTTACTATATAAATCTTTTCTACCTATCTCTCTTCATAGTCTGACATATACTTTCGTTCTGCAGCATTCTCACGGGCCTCCTTTCATTCATGGTAAGCTCTTAGTTTTGCATCAGCTCAGAATTAGCAAGAAAGATTCTCATCCTGTTTTAATTGCTAACCCATGTACACAAGATGTTATTCATGCCTATTAATAATATTGGTAATCTTGATCCCCCACCCCCAAGCAACACTGTTGCTTTTTCGCTTGCGAGAATGCAGTTCTGTAAACCAGCTTAACTCAGACCGATTCCCTATTTTAGTGATAATCTCATCTATTTGTCATGTGAGTAATATAAGTGGTGCTTAACAGCAATGAAACAACTGTCCAGCTGTAGTTGGAACAAAACCATTTCCATTTTGTCTTCACAAGTATAAACTGTGAAAAAGAAGTGCAAATTTGTTATTTCTTGTTCCTCATATGGTTGAAGAGGTCTTGTTTCTCACTGTGAATTATACTTGTGCTTGCAGATGGATGATGCTCTGACAACTGGAAGCATCAGGAGTACAGAGGGGGAAAAGAGACGTTTAGCAAAGGCTTCCCTTGCCTACAACTGTGAGAGGTAATTGCTCAGTAAGATAATATTAATTTCATCATACATCTATGTAGGTTTGTAGAAAATGATAAAAGCAGCAAGCATATATTGTTAGGGAGTAACATACTTGCCATAAAAGAAACAGCTCAATTTAGTGGGAATGCTCTTCCCAAGCGAAATGAATTATGTTAGATAGGTGACATTTATTACTTGTGCTGATGATACTTATCTAAGTTTTTTTATTCACATGCTGCCATCAACCCATCCTTGTTTGAAGCCATGGGACACTAACAAACTTTGCTCTTGTTTCCACAGCAAAAATTGCCCTCACTTCAGGAAAATGTTTCCAGAGTACGTCGAGAAATACAACCAACAGAAACAGATGGAGCAAACCGTAGCGGAACCAGAAACTCAAGAGAACCCTGCCCCAGCTCCATCTCCTGCGGTCCAACAACAGGCTGCAGTAGTAGCCAATAAGGCGAAACCTGCGGCGGAGGCCGCAGGCGAGCAGAAGCAGAAGAAGCGAGTGCCCTTCTGGATGATGCTGGTTATGTTTTCTGTTTTTGGTGCGGTGATGGCCTTGCCCCTGATGCAACTCTGACAAATAAAATAAAAAGAGGCTATAAAAGTGTGATACCGGGGGGTAATTTTTGTATAGTTTTCCCAAGGTTTGCGTAACTCGATTCTTCTGTGGACTCTCTTCACTTTGGTGATGGTAAAATCTGTAGAACCATATCCTCTCTTTACAGAATCTACAGAACAGCTTTGTTTGAGTCGTAGATGTTCATTCCCTGTGTGTTCTCGCCTCCTTGGTCCTAGCCTGCGATCGCACCAACAGCATGCGTGCCTGGAATGTTTTCTCATTTTTCCTTTTTCCGAGTTGCGCAGTGTCTCGACGGCTTACGAGCCCTTGTAAATTTTAACCACTCTTTCCTACAATGCTCTTACATAGTTCGTAACCATTTCATTTAACTAAATGAAAGTTATATAAAATTAGCTCTTACAAAGTTCGCAACCATTTCATTTAACTAAATGAAAGTTATATAAAATTTAGATTTACTCATGTGACATCACCTCTTATAAGACTTACTGTACGAAAAGTTTGTATGTATCTAGCTTTTCCCGTGGCTGTTCGATCATCGTTTTAGTCCAAACTCCACTAAACGTTCAATATTGGATTTGTGGCCGTATACATCTCCCGTTCTTAAACACTCCCTCCCGTTCTTGAACACTCCCTCTGTCCAAAAAATATATGATACCTTAATTTTTTTTATATTGTTGATCATTTATCTTATTAAAAATTATGTACATATTATTTATTTTGTTGTAACTTGTTTTATTTTAAAAGAATTTAATCTTAACTTATACTTTCACATATCTATACTAAACTAAACTTTTGAATAAAACAAATAGTCAAATGTTATACGAAAAATCAATGATATTGTATATTTTTGCAACGGAGGTGGTATTATATTTGTCCGTATCCAGTTACAAAGCCATGAGCCTCCCGGACCTGGATTCAACTTTTGCCGATCTACACTTAAAAACGCAGAATGAGAGATCACAGGCGAGAAAGTTAAAGATCTAACACGCTCACACGCATGTCAAATTTATATGAAGCGTTCCCCAAATTCATTGAGGTTATAGCAGTGTCAATATATACACCCCACAGCAGGGTAAAAGAACTGAAGAGTGAAGACGGTTTCAGTCGTCAACATTGCAAATTCGTCTTGAATCACATGGGAGACATACTAAAACTGGAGCCTTCCAGACCTTCATTCTGCAACAACGTTCATTCTGCCAGTCTTTGCCTAGGGATGTTGTAGATCCTATTTAACTCTGACATACTGGAATGGGTTGAACATGTTTCTTCAGAAATCAAAGTCTACCGAGACATCTGCTGCTCTCAAATGGTGCGTCTCCTACCGAATCAAGTGTCAGAACTCTGGTACTACCCAAGAAAGAAGCTTTTCCTCAACTTCTTGCCAATTGTGAACCTTGGTCACCAGCGGATGCGATTCGTCAACACCAGTTTTGCACCAAGGGTACGAGTTGTGATAATCAAAGAGAAGGACCCTCATGCCATCCTCGGCACAATCTAAAGCATATCTGGGGTTGTCATCTATCAAAACCTGAGCACCAAAAGATCTAGAAGTACAATTTGTCAAAAGAGAATAAGTTATTAGTATTACAATTGAAATATATTATTGATGGCGACAATTGTTACCGGAGGGCAAAAATTTCAGTAAAAGGAGTGCTATGTCCAACATGTATGAAAACGAAAGTACAAAAAAAAAGGTAACTATTCCAAAGTATTCACATGCTATATGTGAAAAATTAAGATGGTGCACATGATTAGAGATTAGTTCCGCTTACGATTTACCTGCAAATTTCTGATTTTGGCTTTGATTGACCTTGCAAAGCAAAATGGTTTCCAAAATGGATCTGCTCAAATAACCCTGGATAGTACTTGTCGATCCAGTCTAATGTGTGATTTTTAATTGCATCCTGCCGAGATCTTAAAAAGAAACGATATCATTAGCCAAAACACAAACGTCACATAATAAAGATAAGTTCACTATGCCCCTAAATATCAGAAAATGGACTTACGTGACAACAGATAAGCTACAGAAAGAAGAGAGATTTTGCAGAGCATCTCGGGCACCGGGGATAGGATGTATACCATCTTGGAAGTAATGGGTTGTAAAGAACTCATGGACAAGAAAATTAGCTGCAACATTTTAGACAAGTTGTTGATTTTTTATATGAAGAATTGTTGTTATGTTCACAATAAAAGATTTGTAAGTTCCAAAAAGAAATGAAAAGATAGCATAAGACAAACCTCTTTCTCGAGAACAATTCCATATCTGCACAGAGTTGCACAAAAAGATGTAACTACCTGATGGATAGAATTTCTTAACAGAGACATGATCAAGGATGAAAAATTTAGGCAAAATTGGTCATATAGCATCGAAAGTTCACGTTTTTGGTTTTATAGCACTGAAAGATACCGGTTCACTTTAATAGCACCCAAAGTTTACCCTGTTCCCATTTTTAGCACTTCCGTCAATTTTTCCGTCCGTCTTGATCGTTATTGACCCAGCTACGCACACGATATGACGTTTCTACCCCTCATTGACATGCATTCTACTTGTACTTGTAAGGGGTAGAAACGTCATATCGTGTGTGTGGCTGGATCAAGACGGACGGAAAACGATTGAGAATTGACGGAAGTGCTAAAAATGGGAACAGGGTGAACTTTGGGTGCTATTAAAGTGAACCGGTATCTTTCGGTGCTATAAAACCAAAAACATGAACTTTCAATGCTATATAACCAATTTTTCCAAAAATTTAAGGGCTTGAATTTTTTCTAGGAGGGTTGGATTTCAAATCACCTTGAAGAACTCATACACATGGTATTCTGATACTGAGTGATTCAAAGAATAACGGTCCGCAATAAATTTGTTGAGAGCAGCAAGAAAGCTTCCAAGAACTGCAGGCAAGATAATGAGAAAAAGATCAACTGTAAGAACAGAGGGATGATCAAATGCCATAACATCGAAGCTCATGAGCGTCAAATATATATTCTTCTTTTCTAATGTTGTTAGGATCATAATATGGATCGACACTAATATCCCAATCAAACGGAAGCGACCTCTAATTCGTAAGAAATGAACCAGTAACTCAATCAGTATATACAAGATCATGCCTGCACAATTGAGATATGAACGATTGTAAATTGCAATGATTTCCCAATACCTTCATCCACATCAACAGCAACCACCATCTTCGTCGGCGCAGCGTTCTCGGGGAAACCCAGCGGCTTCCCACGCCGGCACGCGCCATTCCCGTTCAAGCTCTTCGTGGCAACCTCCTCCAATGGCAGAACCTCCGGGTCATGGAGCAGCTGCCGCTGCGGCGCCAGAACCTGCGCCTTGATCCTCACGGCCTCGCCACCATCCACCCCCCTCTTGGATCTACCCCGATCCTGCCAATTCAGGCATCCCTTGGATCCCAATGCGCTGCCCGGCGCGAACCTCCGACCCATCCCAAGATCAAGAAATCCCTTCCTCTGAATCACACTGCCCTCCCCGCACAGATTCGAGTGGCTGAGGCTGCAGAAGCAGCCACGGTGGGCGGCGGCGGCGGCCGGCATAATCGCGGCGGGGCTACTCCTCCTCCTCCGGTGATGCGGCGGCGGCCGGAGACGATCGAACAGCGACCGCACGGCTCCGCGGGCTAGCATATTGATACCAGCATTCCCCCTTTCCGATCCAAGAAACCCGCGAATCCACACAGACAAGATCCTGTCACCCCCAAAACAAGAACCCAAACGGATCACCGATCCCAAAAACCAAATCAAGAAAGAACCGAATCACTCACCTCACCACGCGAGATCAGACAAAGAATCCAATCCGCAAACGACACCACCGCCGCAACCGCCCTCCTCCTGGGTGATCTGAGTGAGGGCCGCTCGGGGGAGAGATAGATTAAAAAAAACAGAGAGAAAAGGGTGCGATCTTTCGAACCAGATCGGGAGATCGCGAGTCAAGAGCGAGGGAGAAAAACTAGGCAAATCTGAAGGAAAATCCGGGGCGCATATGCTGGAAACTCGGAGAAGGCGAGGGCGAGAGGGGGGGAATTTCTTGGCGGCCGCTAGTATTTTGCTTTCTCGCAGTTTAATTTCTTTTTTTAGGGTTTTTGGAGAAAAAAGGAAAAGAAAAAGAGAAGGAAAAAAAAAACGAGGACTGAAATTTGTGTGGTTCTTTTTGTGTACGTGGAGTGGCGGTATTGTTGTGGTGGGCTCATTCCTTTTTGGGAAAACGGAGCCGCTCTGGTCATCATGATATGGTACTTTTTGCAGCCAAGTTCATAAAGATTATGGATATTCTGATTTGGTACTCCATTTTCTTACATGATATTTATCCCTTCCTTTTAAAATTCCATTTGTAGTAGTAGTTCGATTCCAGTGAAAGTTTTTCAAAAATCATACTATGTCCCAAAATATAGCTAATTTAAAAAATTGAAGTAGAAAGATAACTATACTTTGGGACGGCGGACTATATTTCAAAGGATACCTCAAAGTTTGAACTATATTTTGGAAATAAAATTGTATTTCTACGATGGCATACCTAACTACCTAGGAATTTAAAAACTTTATCACTGAAATCATTTTGCTTGCCATTAGTATCGAAGGGTTGATACTCGACTACAATAACGCATGGGTGGGAGACTAGTACGAAGATACGAACGAAGAATACAAAACGCGGAAGATACGAGGTTATATATGTTTTGCCTATAAGCCATACTACTACTACTCTCTTATCTTAATATGTGAAAGCAGCAAAGCTATCTCAGAGGAGAATGGGCCACATCATCTAAAATACGAGAACCGTCGGATGAAACTGATAAAGAAAAATACACCGTTGGATCATATATAAGGCATCTATTGGACTAATCAGGAGGCTTCCATAACATTCCTCCCTATTCTTTTTAGCACCATGTTTGATTAATTAATCGGTTGACAAATAAAGAAAAAAAATAAAAGAGACCTCAACCTTTAATTCATAATGGAGTTATTAACCTATGTGATTATCATTAATAACATGATTTATTGCAAGATTAACAAGAGACAGTTTCTTTCCCTGGACAGAGCAAGTACGGATGATAAGTCGTACATTATATTGACTGGATGTCAAGTTTAAATAATATATCTGCGTTTATGTGTAATTTCATATATTTCCAATTTACTTTTATAGAGATATCAGATATAACGTATAAGCGAGTTTATAAATACTATGTTGCTTTCGGGTGGTATAGGAGCACACAATGGCTACCTTTAACATTTAAAATTTGTCCTAATATATATAAATTACTACTTCACATATTCACTCATCTCAACTAATTACAACCATCAAGATAAAAAAACTAATTTCAACTCTCTTTTTTTCGTCTATTAGTTTTTTTAGCTAATCATAATATTCACCTTTTTGTCAAAAAATAAAAATAGAACATAAACTTTTCATTTAATTTTATCTTACTTCTCATTAAAGTTTTTTTTCATCTTACTTCCAACTAACATCTCAACTCTAATATCTCTCATTAAATGATGAATATAAAAGTATTTTCTGGTCAACTTTAATCTTTATTAAAGAACATAGAAATTTTAAATTTAAGAATGGAGATAGTAATAAAACTAAAAGGATAGTAATAAAACTAAAAGGCTTCGTAATTGTCAACATTAATCGTCCACTTATATATGCAGGTTATGCTGGTGCTCAAAGTCTCGCGAAGCGCGACTACATGACTAGTATATATTGATTGAATTTCACGATGAAACCAGCTTGCATATTATTTTGTGTAGTAGCTACGGCTATTCTGTAGCGGCTGCACCATGTTGCCGAACCCAGCGAATATATTAATCTCATAACGTGGTAGGAGATCTCGTATGTCAAAATCTGTAAATTTATGCTTGTGGCAATTTGGTTATTTTTTATTTTTTGAGCAAGAGGCATGCCCTCCCATTTCCATTAATAGAAATGAAGGAAGTTCCTACACAGGTCTGCTATTACATGACTTGTTCAGGTTTTTAATCTTCCCAGGTACCAGACAGTTTTTCTGAAAGCCATAACTTTAAAAAAAAAACCTAGACTCCTGACATTAGCAAAGAGCTCCACCATTGAGGCCACAATGTGTAGTCATACAAGCTTTTTAGGGACTGTAATGTCAAATGTGCTTATTTTACGGCAGACTCGTTGGGATCGTTGTCTGCTTCTGTAGGGATCGCGTGCATGTACGGTGACACCCCAAGGAGGGAGTAATAATATATTTTGGTTGGTCCAAATGTTGTGTCTTTGGAATGCGAGATCCTTTGTCGGAATCCCTGAATTATTCATGGCTCTCGCCGCAGCTCGAACAGCGTATGGCATGTGGAGTGTGGTTTTGTGGAGGCGGGAAGAATATTTTTGCCGTGGATACCTTATCACATCAGTAATCGCTTAGAAAGTGGATAGATACTCTCACATAGTCATATTATTTTACAAATCGATGCCAAGCCATCCCTTCTTCGCAAGCGAGTGAGCATCTATCTCCTTCCAAAATTGCCATTTAAAATACGAGGGCTTTTCGCTCACAATCTTTACTCGGACAATACAGAGGTAGTCGGCAGACGGTGGTGGACGATGTGGTCGGACCGTCGGAGCTGGAGCCTGCCGCTGCGGCGCACGGAGCTGGAGCGGCTGTGCGTGCAACTCGGGGAGGCGGAGGTGGAGGCCAGGATTTGTAAAACCATGCGGTTATTATAGTTATCATATGTGGTAATATTTTCAGTTTTTAAACCACACAGTTTTTACAACGGTGGAGCTCGTGTGAGAGTGCCAATGCCGCATGGGAAGAGCAGAGAAAGAGAAAGAGAAAGAGGAAGGAAGAAGAAAAAGAGAGAGATAACATGGGGTCCCATGTGTAAATGGGTCTTATATATTTTTTTTGTGTGTGTGGGTGAAAAATGAGTCTCATATATTTTTTCTTAATTCTAATACTCCTTCCGTCCCATAGTATAAGGGATTTTGGGTACTCTCTCCGTATCTAAATATTTGATGCCGTTGATTTTTTTTAACATCTTTCACCGTTCGTCTTATTCAAATTTAAGTAATTATTAATTATTTTCCTATCATTTGATTCATTATTAAATATAGAGTAAAGTCCATCGCCGGTCTCTAAACTTGTACCGCTGTGTCATCCCGGTCCCTAAACTCGCAAATTGACTGTTCAGGTCCTCAAACTTGCTCGACTGTATCATCCTGGTCCCTAAACTTGTAGATCACTCATTTAGATCCTTCAACTTGTTCAATTGAGTCACCCCGGTGTCTAAACTTGGATTTGAATATCATATGGGTCAAATAGGATGGTCTAAAGACTTTATATTTAAAAATAATTCATAACTTTTTCATGTGAAATCTAATGAAGACAAACTTTATATCAAACTTGTAGCCCTCGACGCGATCTACAACTTTGTGTTGAATTTTTTTATTTTAAGTCAGTTTTTGTCCCAAAATGTAATTTTAAAATTAAAATTTCAAAATCTATAAACATGCAACAATATTTTAGGACCCTAAACATTTTTAATTCAAAAACTTTTCAACTACAAAGTTGTAGGTCGCGTCGAGGGCTACAATTTTGATATAAAGTTTGTCTTCATTAGAGTTCACATGAAAAAGTTATGAATAATTTTTTGATATAAAATTTTTAGACCGTCTTAAGGACCGGGGTGACACAAGTGAACAAGATGGAGGACCTAAACGAGTGATCTGCAAGTTTAGAGACCGGGATGACACAGTCGAACAAGTTTAAGGACCTGAACGGTCGATTTGCGAGTTTAGGGACCGGGATGACACATCGGTACAAGTTTAGGGACCGGTGATGGACTTTACTCTTAAATATACTACTACTACTCAAGTTTTTGAATAAAACGAATGGTCAAATATGTTTTAAAAAGTCAACGGCGTCTATTTAAGGATGGAGGGAGTATCATGTAAGTATCACGTCAACATCACGTAGGACAAAAATCAGCTAAACACAACCATATATACGTCACATCAGTGAAACCGTCATATGAAACTGCTGAGAGAGTCAAACTACATTGGCATTGTGATTTAGGGATACGAATCAGATTCATCTACTAGCAGAGGGAGTCAAGACGGACTTAGGGCCTGTTCACTTTGATGCCATTTTCAACTTACCAAATTTTGGTAAAGTTGCAAAAAAAAGTGGCTACATTTATTTTGCTGCCAAATTTTGGTAACTATATAAGAAATCCTGCTAAAATTTTAGCAAGTTACCAAAACTTGGCAATGCTAAAATTTGGTAAGGTTTTTTTTTGGCATCAAAGTGAACAGGCTCTAAGGGTAGCAAACTAAAATTTTGGCATAGTTACCAAAATTTGACAGCAAAATAAATGTAGCCACTTTTTTAACAACTTAAATAAAATTTGATAAGGTTAAAAATAACATCAAGTAAACAGGCCCTAGCTCTTTTTAGCTTACGCACCGCGGCCGCGTGCCCAATCCCGCGTACATCCACCCCACCCACCGCGCGCCACGGCGGTCCGCCAGCCGATACGAGGCGATAAAAACTGGGCGCTCGCGTCGCGCGGACTCGCACACGCCCACACCACCAGCAACACGTACGCGCCCGCGCTACGCTGCACGATACCCACGCCCGCAGCGATTCGCCGCCTCGTCTCGTCGCGCGCGGCCGCGCGGCTATGCCTATTCCGCAGGCAGAATCGCGCAGGTACGTACCCAAGTCGCACACCAACGGCCGCCAACACGTACGCGCGGCTGCGCTTCGCCTCTCCAGTCTCCACTCCACCACACGTACGTACGTACACCACGATTGCCTTGCCTCGCCGGTCGAGCTGAAAATTGAAAACCCAAGCCGCCGCCTTCTCGTTTCTTTCTTCGTCGACTCTCCGATCGATCGGGCCGCCCTAACCCGTCCCGTCCAGTTCCATTATATGACCCAGGCAGGCAGTACTGCTGCTAAAACTAGTATTCCCCTCCGTTTCATGTTTCAAATAGTTCTGATTCTCTTTAAATAAATCTTCTTAAAAGTATAGTTAAGTTATCAAAAAATATAGCAACATTTATAGCACTAAATTAATTTTATTAAATCTAACCTTCAGTATATTTTGATAGTTTCTTTTTCATATTAAAAATATTTTTTTGAATGGATTTATATTAAAAATATTGCTATATTTCTATATAAATTGATCAAAATTTGATTTAGAAAAAAAAGTTAAAACGACTTATAATGTAATAAGACAGATGTAGTAGTACATATATACTATCTTCTTTTTAAATACATGACATCGTTGATTTTCATAATGTCTAACCATTTAATATCTGTTAAAATTTTATTATAAGTATGTAAAAGTAAAAGTTAATATTATATTTTATTTCATAATAAAACAAGTCACAACAAAATAAAATAATATTTTTTATAATTCTTTTAAATGATCAAATAGCGAAAAATAAACGGCATCATACATTTTTTGAGCGAGTATATGCTCACGTACCTCGTTTCATCAGACGTGATGCCATGCCATGACACGGTCGCTCCTCCCAACTACGCTTTCGTGTAGGCAACTAATTAACCGTTCCAATCCGATCCCTGAATCTCCAGCACGTAAATTAAATTATCTCAACAAACCCAACCAGGCTATATCCAACATGCCAATTGATCAGGGTCAATCTGCGTAGAAACACTTAAACTATTCACTGTTCCTGCTAATAATAACTCTGTGACAAAGGATTCGATCAGTCACACGCTCACGGTATCTCACGTCGATGAGATTAGCAACCGAAGCTCGTTGATGACCAAAGATTAGCCATGTCCACAAGGCAAAGAAAGTGACACCTGACCTAACGTCCGTCCTGCCTTAGCTCAGAAATTCCTCCTTCCCCTGTTTCTTCTCGCATTCAACCGTCTCTGACTCCAGCCGAGTACTTTACTTGCATCCAAGAAACTTCCCCCATTTTCTCCTGTACTGACATCCTAATCGTGCAGGCGATTGGACGCCACGACTTAATCCGCATGCAGCTAAAGCTAATTAATAACAATTTTATAAAATGCACACGTAGTATTGTTACTGTTACATAAGATCACATGTCGTTGACTGACCTGACTGACGGCTAGCTTAGCTCGTTTGCTTGGAAATTCAGAGACACGCAGTGACGCACAAAACGAATGGAGCATAGTCAAGTGCAACTTGTGTCAGAAAGAGGGGGAAAAAAGTAAGCCAAAATTAATCAGAGTGAGGAAGGGTCAAAGTTTTTGCATCGAATCGCATCGACTTTTTTTTGTGTGCAAACACACGGTGAGACTGAGACTGTGTCGTGTTTGATCGGCAAATCCATTGTGCTGAAACGAGCAGAATAATCGCTTCACGGAAAGAAACTCTCAGGCACTGTCAAGGGTTTGATATTTTTCATATTTTGGATGCTGGAATTTGTGTTATCCATGAAGGCAGCTGGATATCTTAAACTGTGATTAGATGAGGTGATACTTGAAGCGACTGAAAACTAGTGAGGCCGCTGCATTGCAGCAAATGTATGTTAAGCACTGAACAATTGTTCGTGCTCTCGTTTCTTGATGCATATTTCTGAATATAGCTATCAAAATTTCTGAAAAGAAAATGATCGTATAGTTGGGGTCATTGGGGCCTACATGAAGAAGTTTTCATCAGCAGAAACCAACTCTTTTGCCTAAAAAGCGCAGAGGTTGTCTCCTACACACTTCATATTCTAGCCGAACGTACAGTTGATGTACTTTGTTAGGCATAATTCCATTTTGAGCCTTCTTTTTCTTCTCTCTTGCTGATGTGTTTGTTTAGGAATTATCTTTTGAATTTCGGCTCCTAACCAAATACATTCATTTCTAATATCGTGTTTCTGGGATCAGATTGTCAGTGACAGTAGGAATTCAGACTGCTGACTTCTGAAGAAGAAGAAGAAGAAGCAGTGTTTAACTGAAACACATAAACCTTTTCAGACAATTTCACATCTAGGCAAAGATAAGTAAGAAAGTAAGAACAATTGAACAATCTCATGGACAATTGAACAAATTCATCAATTTTATCCCCCAATCACCAAGAATCAACTTACAGTAATGTTGTCATCTTCTTTTTACATGAGAGTTTCTCATCAAAATTTCTTCTTTTTTTTTCTTTTTTGAAATGTAAAAGAAAATATCAGAAAAGAATAGTAGGAAAGAAAGAATGAACACATGTGTACGCTCCGGTGATCGGCGAGGCGAGCCAATGCATCTCGGAGCTCCGGGGAGAAGGATCAGTTCGCCGGCGGCGGCGTCTTGGGCGTCTTCGGCGGAGCGCCGGCGAGCCCCTGCTCGATGTCGCCGCCGCCGCGCGGGCTGAAGGACGGTCCGACCACGGCCTGCTTGCCCCTGCTGAGGAGGCGGCGCAGCGACCGCAGCCGCGCCGACACCGGCGACCTCATGTCGTCCGCCATCCTGCTCGCCGGCAGCGGCGTCGAGGCGGAGGACGACGTGACGGAGTCCGCCGCGGCGGCGGCGGCAGAGCGCGACGGGATGTCGATGACGAGGCTCTCCTTCCTGCGCGCGGACGCCGAGGAGCTCGTGGAGGGCGCGGCCATGAGAGGCGGCGGCGGCGGCGGGGGGTGGAACGGGTGGCGGTCACCGGCGTTGGCGACGTCGTCGTGGGCGGTGCCCCAGAAGAGGACGTTGGTGGGGAACATGGGGAAGTCCATGGCAGCCGGCTCCTCCCGCGGCACGCGCGGCAGCCCCTCGCCGCCGGCGTCGGGCCCCACGGGCGCGCGGCAGAGCGGGCAGGTGTCGTGGGAATGGAACCACATGTCGATGCACTCGACGTGGAATCCATGGTCGCACTTGGGCAGCATCCGCACCTTCTCGCCGTCGGCCACCTCGGACAAGCACACCGCGCACTCGAGCGCCTCCTCGCCGCGCGCCGCCGCGGGCTTCGCGTAGACCGTGACGGGCAGCGCCCGCAGCGCGGCCGCCGGCAACCCGCGGCGCGGGAACGGGGAGGCGTCGAGGAAGAGGAAGCGGGAGGAGGGCGAGACGGGGGCGAGCAGCGGGTTCGCGCCGAGGTATCTCTTGGCGTAGAGGTAGAGGAGGAAGACGAAGACGACGACCATGAACAGGAAGATGACCGCGGCGAGCAGCACGCCGTTGCTCACCACCAACGGCCCAGATCCGCCTCCCGACGACGACGACGTTCCCGCCGCCATCGCGCTCGTCGGCGGCGAAGACGACATAGCTAGCTAGCTTCTTGGCTTGATCAGCTTGAGCTTGGCAAGAAGAGAAGGAAGGAGAGGAAGTAGTAATGGTGGGCGAGGCAGTGGAGGCAGCTCGTATTTGAAGGTGAGGCGAGGCGGCTACGTGGGGGAGAGTAGCCGGATCTTATGTGGCAACGAAGCCAACCGGTCTCATCTTTTCGCTTATGCTTATCATCCGTAAAATTTTAACTTTTAACCTTAAATTTAAATTTTGAGTTTAATTTTAAGGTTTTTTAACATAATTTATTTCCTTTTTTAATTGCTAAAACACGTATATAAAAGTTTTTGGGCTGTTTCATATTGATGATATTTTCAACCATACTATATTTCTAGCAAAGTTACCAAAGATATGTCCACATTTAGCTTTTACCAAACTTTAGTAAATACATAAAAAAAATCTTGCCAAAATTTGGATAATGTTAACTTACCAAAGTTTAGTAAGGTTTTATTTTGGCTACAATCTGAACCGCCCTTTTATTAACAAATTATATTTCATTTGCAAAAATATGCTGTAACGATGGAGCCATTTCGTGTGTCACCGTTGTTGCGGTGTTGAAGATGTAGAGGATCCGGGGTGGAATGTGGCGGGAGATGGACTTTGTCAACAAGTGGTTGGGTTCAAGGAAAGAGGACAACGTTTGGGTCGCCCGGTTTGACTCGAACTCGCGGGCTTTCTTTCTCTTCTTTCTTCGTTGGATCGGATGAGACGGCGGGCACCGGGATCCGGGAAGCATCCAACTGGCGGGCGGGGGAGGACACAGGACACTGTGTGTGGGCAGCATGCTGAATTTGCAACCGGAGTGTAATTAATCGTCCACGAATATTAGAGCAAGGCTAATAATACTGTCGACCTGTATTCTATAAAGTTCTTTATAGTCTTCTTTTAGTCTACCTATATAATAGTTAGCTCTTTATAATTATTACATGGCCTACTTGTCTTTCTCACAGAGTTTCTTGGTTCTTGTGTCCAAGCCGCTGTAAGTTTACAGCCCGCTTCTCCTCTCTTCTCTCCTCCACATCAGCATTTAGCCGACTTATAGCCTACTATTATACTTGCTCTTAGGATGCAATCCAGATCCTCTACGGGCCAACATGTCAGCGAGCATTTCTACTGTGCAGTACTGCAAAAGACCCTTACTGACCGTAATCGGGATATTTGATAATTTGTCACCTTCATAATATATGTGTGTCCTATTATTTCATCGCTCTAATATACATTCAGTGACTTACGTAATTACGTAGCCTTATATATCACTGAGAGAGGAAATATATATATACCTTTGTAAATACTTGGGGATTGCCGGTGGTTAATTTACTGTGTTTATTAGTCCATTCACGACATTGTAATACTACAAGAGGGTAGTAAAAACTAGGTAGTTACATCTGTGTGATGCTAGTCGTTAGCCTTTCGTGCGTAAGGTACATTCGATTTTTCTCGACTAGCATGCGTGGCTAAGTGATTGTCAATCAGTTATGTATCACCTTTCTTTGTACTTTTATTTTAAATTTTAGACAGTGATAATTTTGGATGAAACAAAAGAAAATGGTAAGGAATCCTAGGGCTGGAGCGACACGGACGGTGACTCGCCAGCTCGCTGCTACCCCGCCTCCTTCCTACCTCCACCTCGCCGCCGCCCGAGCAAGCCTCTAGACATCATGGCTGTAAGAATGGCGGCAACTAGGCCTTCCTCTCCCCCTAATCCCTCGATCTGGTCAGAGCCCGTGACCATATCTAGGATGGCAACGGCCGTGGCTTCAACGGGCTTCGGCTCGGGGGCGGTGGCGGCAAAGCGTGGTGCTGCGAGGGCCGGTGGTGCAGATCTGGCCCTCCAGCCGCCCTCGGCCGGCGTTTGTGCTTTGGGAGCTAGGACGAGTCGACGACGGCGTGGGGTGGTCGGCGGCGGGACCTTGGCTCCTCTCTGCTAGATCTGGTGCCTCTATCTTCATTGACGGTGGCCAAGTTGGTGTTGGAGGCTGTGACAGGCGCTGGCGCCCTTTTCCGCCGCCTTCGCGGCCGGTGTTGCTCGGATCCATTGCTACTGTGGCAGCGGTGACCCCCTACGCATGTTCTAGCTGCGACACGGCACTCTCGTTGTCCCTAGCTTGGTTGCAACAAACCTCTTCCCCTTCCCCTCCCACTAGTGCCCTTGTTCTTGCGCCCTCTTTCCTCCCCGATCTAATCTGTTCTTGCGCCCTCTTTCTTCCCCGATCTAATCTTGGTCCTGTTCCATCATTCTTGAGTTTGCTGGTGTCTTTCCCTATTAACATCTCAATATTCAATTCCAGCATGCTCTTGACTAATGGTTTAGGTGTCTGTTTTGGAACTTGTGCTCCTCTAGCAGCTTGATTGGCCTCTGTTCTATGCCCCCTCCATGGTCGCGGTTGATGTTCTTCCATCAGTGAGATTCTCCCTTGGCCATTTTCCTTTTGTTTAGCTCCCTGCTCATCTCCATCCTCTTCCTTGCGATGTCCACGACCTCAAGGATCAGCGGTTCTTCCTCCTTTGAGGCTTTGTTCCCTTAAAGGGTGTTGGAGAGCGTTGATCTAACAAGCAATTTGATAAAGCTTGATTGAAGAAGACTCAATGCGGGTGGCCTTTGGACGCAACCTTCAGTGGCCCTCCCTCCTCCTGGGCTTTCTTCCCCCAAAGGACGTCGGTGGGCTCTCATCCAAACAGCAACAAGACCAAGTTAGCTTCTTGATGGCTTCATATGGGTGGCCTTGGATTTTCACAGCCTTTCGTTGGCCATTCATCTAATTCGGCATGCTTGTGGCTGTGTGACGAGTGGTTGTTGATAAGTTGGGGTGTTAGCTTTAGGTTGTTTTGGTTGTTGGCTGGGTAATTTTGCAGGTGTAGTTCGTCAATCGTTATATTTTGGGATGTTTTCCTTTGTATTCCCTGTGTATTTTCTTTTTCTATCTTCCAGGGCCCCTGCGCTTGCGCGGGAAAAGCCTGCCCTGTGTAAGATCATTTTGAAAGCTTACTAAACTTCACTCCAATCTTTTTCATTAGCAACAAGAAAAGCTCTATGTATCGGCCCTTGATGAGTAAGCTTAGCTATACCGCTTAGGATGCAAAGCAGCAAGCTCATATTCCCCGTGTATTTTCTTCTTCTATCCTCTAGGGCTTTGCGCTTGCGCAGGTGAAGCCTGCCCTGTGTAAGATCATTTGGCTCAATATATTCAGGTGGAGAAACTCTCCCCTCCGGTGATTTGGTTAATACTAAAATAGTACTACCAATTTGTAAAACTGAACAAAATCACAAGATAGGGCAGTCAAGAGTTCTTTTAATAATTAATACCTTTCGTAACAAAGAGTACTTTTAAATTTTAATGCCTGTTCTTTTTGTCGTTCTTGCTAGAATGAGCTGTTTAACGTTGTTACTACTAGTTAATTTCATGGCCTTTGGTGCCTCAATTGCAACAATTGCCATCGACGAAGGAGAGCTGATTCTCGCGTAGCAAGATTTTCCTTGACCCATCTGACATTTCCTGTAAAACGAGCACTTTTATCTTTCTAACAGATGCCAAGTCTTGCTAGGTATATAAAAGCCTAGGATCCAAACATACCCGTAACCGTAATGATGAGCTCATGAGGCTATGATATCCTTTGGGTTTAGACAAACAAAAAGGAAATCGTTAATGGATAACTGTTTTGCTACTCTGGTCCTGATCATGCGAGGAAGCTGGTGTGCATGAATTGTGTGCCTCCCATGTCAACTACACATAAAAATGATTTTGGTGTGAAGACAGGTTGTCAACTTTCAAAGTGGAGACAAAATGTAGCAACATATTTGTATTTCAAAAAAAAAACGTGGGATATTGATCTCTGTCCATTTGAATTTGTTTCTTCCAAATTTGTTGGAAGTGACTCACAATAATATGACCTTATTTTGAATACAACAGGAGTGGGCGACTCAAATAGGTAATTAGGTCAACATTGGCATACTACCTCTTTGAAGAGTAAAATGGTCACCTCCTTAGATTAACCATCGGATGCTCAAATCAGACAATCTGTATCATGTTGCAAAACAATAAACGATCACGTTTGTTTTTGTTCCTTAATTTCTTTGTTTGACTTGAACTTTGAATAATTCAACTAAAGCTGCATCCTGTATGAGTCCCAAACGTACAGGGCGGTGTGTGTTTTTTTAGAGCAGAAAATGGAAGATAGACCAGTCCATCCCAACCCTGAAAGTCTGAAACCCTCCCTTGGAAATGTGAAATGTCACGCTTGATGGACACCGAAGAGACCAGAATCACACACATTTGAATCTTTTGGCACCGTGCTTCATGGTGTTGTATACGTTTGGCAGATTGGAATTTCTCCTTGTGCAGTACCGATCGCACGCATCGGTTCATGATTTTGGGGTCATCTGCCTGCCGGCCGGCCGGCGTGCACCGGCCTCCGAGTGGTACAAGACTGGCCTTTGCCTTGACATTTTATCGTCAAGTGATGGTGATCCTTACATTTCTAGTTGTCGTCCCAAGTCACTAATGCACGACATTAAAGGGTTTTTTGGTGAATAGTGTATATTCTAATACTACGAATCTGAATATGATATTTAGGGATGGAGAGAGTACCCGTAAAATGTACTCCATCCGTCCTAAAATATATGATGTCGTTAACTTTTCACGTAAATTTTAATCATTCATCTTATATAAAAATTATGTATTTTATTATGATTTGTTTTATTATAAAAAAATAATCTCAATTTATAATTTTAAGACGAATAGTCACGATAGTGCTTAATTACTCCTACTTCGTCGTCTTTGTTTGATAATTACTCCTACCACCCTAGCTTAGTTACTGCCGTAACTACTTTGTCGTCTTTGTTTCACAGTACTTCCAATCATTGCACCATCATTACTCCCTTTGATTTTTAAAAATTAAACGTAATATCAAATGTGATATATTCTGTCCATATTTATAGTATTAAGATGAATTACATTCCGTGGTACTTTTGTTTTTTTCTTTAACGAATGAAGTACTGCGTCCGTAACAGAAACATTATTAATTTCGTGCGGACGAAATTACAGCCTTTATGTATGAGTGGGTGAGCTTAATTAATTTCCACTTGATGTTCATCTGACCAACTCAAGTGCTCGCGCAGTGGGAACGGTGGGAAATTGTGAAATATTGGCCCCGTCACTTCACTTGGAAACCCAAACGCTTTGGTTTGGTTTGGTGGGAGAAACGCGTATCGTCCCGTGCCCATGGGGCGCAGACAATTGACAAGTTCAGAGATCCGCAACGCCATCGCGCGCGAACCCTTCCCTATATCGGTAGCTGTCACGACCACCAATCGCGGCCTCGTCCGCCTCTCACGTCGGGAACGCGGCGGATCACGCGACGAGGTAATAATCCCGTAGCCGTCCGCCGTGCCGTCGCGGCGAGGTTGGTTGGTCCGAGGGCGGGCGTTCGCTTCATTCTTCGGCGTTTTTTTTTTCCTTCTTTTTCTCCCAATTTTACGAAAGACGTCACACGCACAAATACCACTGTACATGCACAGACCGAGAGTGCTTTTTTTTTTTTAAAAAATAATGCATTGTCTTGTGCGCACGAGGTTGGGGACACGCAGTATCAACCAAAAGAGGCCACCTGTAGCTAGTACTACTCCTACCGAGACCCGATGACGTCACCACCGGACTCACCCGGTCCGCCACTGCCCCATCATGGGCGAGGAAATTACGACCGATGATGGATGTTACACGCAGCGCAGGTGGGTGTTGTACGCAGCAGATGCTTCGCTTTTGATGGGAAAGTCGCAGATTTGGAGGGACGAGACGAGACAGGCGGGGCACCGGGACGAGGCAGCAAGCAGGAGACGCGGGCGGCAGCAACCAGTCATCCGCCGCGAAATGCCGGGGCTTTTGCGCCACATCTCTCGATCGGTCGCACCCCGCACCAACACCGGGATGTCATGTCACTGGCAACGCCCCGGAATAGCCGCGGGGAGAGCGGAGAAAAAGAAAGGGGAGCGGAAAGCCGCGTGCCGCGTGCGGGGGTGGGACTAGCAAATGATATCAGCGGCGGCTTGACGAGTCAAAGTGGTTCGGCTTGGGGGAAGACGGAGACGACCTGACCTGACCTCACGACGGTTTTGTGCAAGCCCGTCTCGGAAGGTGGTGTGGTGCGCGACTGCGCCGCTGTTGTTTTGGACTAGTCCATCCGTCTCCAAATTTAGGGCTCCGTGAAATGAAAATGTTTAGGTGTCACATCGAATGTTTGACTGGATGATGGAAGATATTTTTAGACACGAATAAAAAAAACTAATTTTATAACTCATCTGGAAACCATGAGATGAATCTTTTGAGCATAATTAATCCGTCATTAGCACATGTGGGATATTGTAACAATTATGGCTAATCATAGACTAATTTGGCTCAAAAGATTCGCCTCACGATTTACATGCAAACTATTTAATTAGTTTTTCTTTTTATTTATATTTAATGCTTCATGTATGTGTCCAAAGATTCGATGTAATGTTTTTAGGAAAAGTTTTGGGGAACTAAACATGGCCTTAGTAGAGTGATAAGTCAAATATTTTTAACTTTGACTATTAATAAAATAATCAATCATATAAAAATTGATATTACTAAATTTATCATTAAACAAGTTATCATAATATGCAACTCTTTTTATTTAAAATATTTTACTTTTATATATATTGTTGGTTAAAGTAGCATCTTGAAGATTGTATCAGAAACTAAAAATACTTATATTTTAAAACGGATGAAATAATTGTTTTTGTCATGCGACGGAATCGCTCGCCTCCGTGCGTTAGAGTGTACTGTATACTAGTAGCAGATGTGGCACCCATTCTAAATTTAAGACTTCATGACTATTTATTCTAGACGATGTAATCGTCGATAGCAAAGGCACATGTGATGACTTCATCTTTCAAGGTAAGTGTGTATGTATTGTGAGTGTCTACGTTTGTCCTGTGTTTCAAAAAGTACAAAACAATACTAGTAAGGTTAAAAACTCAGCACATTCGATTTGGCACAAATACTCATATTAACGGTTAATGATTGATAACGGAACACAAGACACATAGTAATCTCGTCAGTCAATATACATGTTGTTTTGGTCTTCGAAAGTATTTATTTATAGGGTAATTTGGAACCATGCCATTATAATTTTGTAAAGTTTGAGATATGTCATCGGTATCTCAATGACATGTAGGACCCACATGAGTCAATGACATGTGGGTCAGGATGGCATATCTCAAACTTTGCAAAATTATAATGGCATGGTTCCAATTTTCCCTTATTTATATATGGTATAAGGCTGTGTTTAGTTCGTCGTATACGGACACACATTTAAAGTATTAAACGTAGACTAATAATAAAACAAATTACAGATTCCGCCTGTAAACTGTGAGACAAATCTATTAAGCCTAATTAATCTGTCATTAGTAAATGTTTACTATAGCACCACATGACCAAATCATGGTGTTATTAGGCTCAAAAGATTCGTCTTGTGATTTACATGCAAACTGTGTAATTATTTTTTTTTCCACATTTAATACTCTATGCATGTGCTCAAATATTTGATGTGACGAAAAAATTAGAAGTTTGAAGAAAAAAGTTTGAATATAAACACGGCCTAAAGGACACACTAATCTCGTCAGTCAATAGACATGTCGTTTGTCTTCGAAAGTATTTATGTGTAATATAATGGTATGCGTGTACGTTCTTATGTAGGTAAGTGAGCAGACGTGTATACGAGCCTTTGCGCTGTACTACTATTCTTATGAAAGTTGGAGACAAACTTTTGGATTAAAATGATGCGTTGTGTTTCGTGTTTAAAATGATGAAAGTTGTTTAAAATATCAGATTAATTTATTTTACAAGTTTGTAATAATTAAAACTCAATTAATAACAAGTTATTAACACCTTATTTTACGTGAAACACTTAATCTTCATCAATCTTCATCTTTACCTTCATGACTTTCATACACCACCTATGTCAAGAAAAAGAAAATACTGGTGATCAAATCCACAACTTTACTGGTCGTGACCATCTTTTTCGCGAAATGCCTTATCCATTTGACCATCCTAGTAAAAAAAAGTTGCCTTGTTCGTGTCCTAGTGAAAAAGTTCCTTTGCTCGTGCTGTCCGGCATCACCTTGACCCCTTCCAGTCAAGCAATTACGACACAAAAGATACGATACCGACACAAGACATGAAAGGAGAGGGAGAGCGTAACGTCAGTCTAGCACAAGAGCGGCAGTGTAGTGTAGGGCACATCGCATCCTCCCATTGTGATCTTTCAATATTCTAAAGATAAGATTATCCCAGCGTGTCATATGATGCAGAAAACAGCCCAGGTTTCTTTTGAGTAAGAAAGGGAAACAAACAGGCTCAATCTTTCTGAAGGTCCAAAGGAGGGGCACAGGAAGAAACGGGAAATCAAGGTCAGTGCCCTCTAGTTGTACACCATATACTTGGGCGTTGCGCTGAACTTTTGGTAACCCTTGATCACCTTATTCACCGCGTCCAAGAAATCCTTCTCTGTCACCGTCTTCCTGCGAGCGCGGATGGCGTACATGCCAGCCTCCGTGCACACACTCCGTATGTCGGCCCCTGTTCCAACAAACACAAATAGCCAAACGTGAGAAAAAAAAAAGGAGGTTAAAGATAAATGACATGGAACAGAAACTAGCCAGAGACTGGATTCTGTCATGCAAGAATTCCCGGCACTTACCAGTGGAGTTGGGGCAGAGGCGAGCGAGCAGCTCAAACCGGATGTCCCGCTCGCAGTTCATGGTGCGAGTGTGGATCTTGAAGATCTGGGTCCGGCCCTCCAGGTCTGGCAGGCCAAACTCAACTTTCCTGTCCAGACGCCCTGGACGTAGTAATGCAGGGTCCAAGGTATCGGGCCTGTTGGTGGCCATGAGGACCTTGATGTTTCCCCTGGCATCAAATCCATCAAGCTGATTAACAATCTCAAGCATAGTGCGCTGGACCTCATTGTCACCACCAACACCATCGTCAAAGCGAGCACCACCGATGGCATCGACTTCATCAAAGAAGACAATGCAAGCCTTCTTCGATCGTGCCATTTGGAAGAGTTCCCGAACCATGCGGGCCCCCTCACCAACATACTTCTGAACTAGCTCACTTCCTATGACTCGAATAAAGCAAGCATCCGTGCGGTTGGCCACTGCCCTAGCAAGAAGTGTTTTCCCAGTTCCAGGAGGGCCATAACACAGTACTCCCTTAGGAGGATCGATACCAAGTTTGACAAACTTTTCTGGGTGAAGCATAGGAAGCTCAACCACCTCACGCATCTTCTCAATCTGCTCCTTGCATCCACCAACATCATTGTAAGTCACATCTGGTTTTTCTTCCACAGTCATCATGGTAACGCTGGGATCAATCTTTGGTGGCAAAGGAATTTGAATTTGGTACTTGTTTCGATCAACTCTGTATGATACACAGGATGAGAAACAATACAATCCAATTGATAATATAATTACTTCAAGAACAGCATCACACAAGTGCAATGCAAACAACATATGTGGAACAGAAAAAGGATGTGCTTACTATTATTTCTAATTCTCCCATCAAATTTGATCAAAAGAGTTTAGGAACTAGTCAAATGACACTTTTTTATATGATATATGGAAGAATGCATCACTAAGTGGTGCATATGGCCAAAGCTTAATGGCATCAAGAATGGAACAGACAGCAATATTGCTCCTTGCTGCAACGATAACTACCATAAAGTAGCATATTTTATCTTGTGCTAAAAAACTTCAATGGTAGTTATTATCTCAAAATGCTTCTTAGCAAATACTGACTTTTCATCTCATCATATCAGCACTACAGATTTGCCACTAGAACTAGCATGGTTATCAATTTAATATGTTACAGCTTGGTTTTTAAACAGTATGCTCCTAGCACTATGTGTCGAATGAACTGATGGTAAGCATAATTTCTTTCAAGCACAGTTGAAGTAAAGATAATAGGACATGCTATAGAGTGAGAAAGAAACCTACCCAACCCGCATTCCTTCCTCGATATCAGTGGGGGAGACCTTGTCGCCCAACCCAACCACAAACTGCAATGTCCCATAGATAAAATATCAGAGAAAATCAGCGATAAACCTCCAGAAGTACTCTTTTTTATATGAACCTCCACAGAGAAAGGCTGGCAAGTAATAAAAGCATGACTCACCTTCGCAATTTGCTTGACATTGATGACATATTTAGCATCGTCCGTGTTAGGGCTGATGATCTTTGTGCATCTTGCAACCTTGCAGAAGGACGCTTATTAGTAGAAGGCATGAGGAAGCACAGGGAATATTGACAGTATGCATTTGAATGCAATAAAACCAAAAAGTCAGTTAGGTGAACGTCAAGCATTACCTGCAGGGGTTGCTCCTCCTGCATCATCTGCTTATCGGATACAAGGTCCCACTGGCTAGGTGGAGCCAATCCAGTGTCAGACTCTTTAATTCCTGCAATTCATTAACAGTTCAGATGAGCATGTTGCAGCAAGTTGGAATAGCGCAAGCACCTGTAGCACAGTTATATTTAAATTGAGAAGCAAAGAATTTGACGAGCACACACCACAGAGATCATTTATCTTCTTCGCCATCTCTTTGATTTCCTTCTCAACCTTCTTAATGCTGGTCGAGTAAGGTCCAAGACCCTGTTAAGCAATAGACCAGTATAAAATTAGCAAATTCAGCTAGATGCCTAAATTAACACGGCAGAATTTAGCAAAATTATACAATGAGATGAATGTTTTAGGGTCCTATCGCACACGCTAATTGCGGGATAAAGAAAAGTGGGAACTAACTAACTAACTAGTGCAACCTGAAGTGAAGCTCTTTATAGAGAGGAAAATGCAACAGAAAGGAGATGAATATGCAGAGAAAATATCTGATGGACTAGGTTTCACAGAGCTATGGCTATGTACCGAAATCCAACTAAACGAATTTCATCCTGAGCATGCGGAAGAACTGATTCTCTGCACAAAATCATGATAGTTGTCGCCAACGAGTGCGGCAGGTAGTAACGCGAGCACGAGAGATCGAAAACCCTAGATCTACCACGAGCGCGACTCCATGGCTACGGAACAAGGGGACCCTAACCCGTGAATCAAGCTCAGATCGGCCGAAGAATTTCCACCCTAGGAGGAGAAGACGAGAGGGGGATCGATCCGATCTGCGGGGCACTCACGTAGGTCTTGAGGAGGGCGATGTCGTCCTCGTCGAGCGGGCGCGGGTTCTTCTCGTTCATGATGTCGTCCTCGGGCTCCGGCGCCATGGCTCCCCCCTCCTCCTCCTCCTCCTCCTCCTGCCCTCTTCTCCGGCGACGGTGAGCGGCGGCGGCGGCGGCGGCGGCGGCGAGAGAAGCAGTTGGCGGCTTTGGGTTTACTTGGGTTCGCAAGTTTGGTTGATGCGTGGTGTATTTATCACTTTGCCCCTCTGTTTTTTTAATCTTTTCTTTCTCGCTTTCCTACTCGGCTTCTTGCACCGTCGGATTTTGATCCGACGGCTGTGACAGCATCGGAATACCAGTTGTACGGTGAATTGGTTTTCTTATCGGTTTCGGCCTATACGTTGAATTGGTTTTTTTTTTTATCGGTTTCGGATTGGTTTTTTAGTTCACGAAAATTGTGTAAGCAGCAGAGTAGAGTTGTACTGGATGACTGTTGTTGCAGTACTATTTCTGAAAAAACATTCAGGACAAATTTGAAAGACATGAGTTCAGCAGAGCAATTCCAGTAAAGATTGTAGATTCTCATGTCGATCGTAGGACGAGTTAGGATCAGCAGATCATCAAGCATTGCTGTAACTAAAAAACATTGGAACTACCAAGATCCTCTGATGGATAAAACTTCAATGAGAAGGAAACCATCTTCTAGTTCTATCTGAAATCTCCTTACCCACCCTCTGATTTATGACTATCGCAAACAGTCTCTCTCACACCCGTTTGGGCTAGAACTGTAACCATCATGTATTTCAGCATGCAGTCGGAGATCAAAACTGAGACTAGCTTTCTTTCAAACAAAGACATGAGTGTTTCACAGCTTTGAACGCCACACTAGTGAGTAGTGCCAGGACAGGACACTGTGATTAACTAAGCAGACTCTGGTGTTTACAAGGTTACAGTGAACTATGGCAGCAGATCAAAATCAATCCTCAGTGGCGTAATATTGCGGGGCAAGTTCAGCCAGCCACACGGGATCGATCCGGGTCAGGTCCTTGACGTAATTCTGACTCGTTCGAACCAACTCGTTGAAGATGGCACAATCTGGCTTCTTTTGGAAGAGCACCGATGACGGATGGATCTGCACGCTCTGGCTGGTTGCAAGAGCCCTGCCAATCAACAGGTTAGTGATTAGCTTCAACAAAAGAACTCTCTATTAAGTGTGCAGTAACTTTAGTCTGTAGCGGTAGTCTTGGATTTCAGTGCAGGAAAAGATAGTTAGGATGAGTTATTTAGATCAAGAAAAAGAGGAAAACCGTAGTAATACCTGTATGATCCATCTGGCTGTCGCATTGCGGCATTCAAGAAGAAAGCAGCTGTGAGGCATCTCCGGAACAGAACCATGTCATCCCCACACGATGATACGTTAAGCCCCATTTGTTGGACATGGCCCTGAATTTGGCTGCAACAAACAAAAATACCTATGTCAAGCTCGCACCATACTCTGAAATTTACGAGATAGAATTTTGTTCCTTTTCATTTCTTAAAGTCTAACATGTCAGGTTAATTTGAAATTTTGAATATTTTCCAATGGTCCTAAAATAAATGTTAATATAAGGTGAAATGTTTCTTCAACCACAGATAGTTCAAGTGCTAATGCTACAAATACAATACAGTGCCATGCTTTGTGATCAGTGCAGCATTGCTAAGACACCCTGAGGGCTCCGGCTAGCCATCTTTTTCACAGTTGAGTTGATAGTTCAAGCTTTTCATGAATCCATCAAGAACAATATTTTGACTAACCTGTGAACATCACAAGCATGTCTTAGAGACCGGTAATTGATGAAATTTTCCCTGCACCATCTGTTCAATGCCTTTTCCATTGTTTTCTCTTTGGCATTTGCATTTTTGCTTTTCTCCAAGCATTCTTTAGCGGCTCGATATACATTCACCAAGGTTATGTGGTCCCCTTCAGAGCTTTCAAAACTCTTCCTAGCAGCTCTTGCCTACATAAGAATTCGGGATCAATAAGTGAACTATTTAGTTAGCAACAAACTGAAGTTCTTTATCATCACCGAACAGTGGTAGCCTATCAAAATACATGTTGTATGTTAGTTTTCCTTGTCAATACGCAAATGACAAATCATGATAATTTCAGGTCTTAAGGTACTTCAAAAGGATTTCACAGTAAAAGATTCCACAACATAACTAAATAAACTGCTATCTTTATCACAAGTTCACAACTGGGTGAACTGGGTGAACTCTGCTCCATCCAAAGATGGACGAGACAAGTATAGCAGTGTTGAGTTAAATAATGTTCTGGTTTGTCCAAAGCTTGTATAATGACAGTATAGAGTGTTCATTAGACTTTAAAATGTGTTTATAAAATATATGTTTGGTGCAATGTATTTCTTAATCAGCAATAACCTAGAACCTTAAAGGCATTTAGTGCCTGGTATTGCAAGAAGAGTAAACTTGGATCGAATAGCATAACTGGAATATACCAGTACCAACATAATCTCAAATAAGAACACTTTGTGGTTTAATCATTCGCAGGATTCGAATATAATACCTCTTCTAACTTCTCACGTGGGCTGAAGAAAATAGATTCCACTGAAAGCATAGAGACAACAATCAACATCTCTTCCAAGCACTTGAATTCGCTTGCTACTATTAGTGCCTTGGAGTACATTGGATCCAAAGGTAGCCTAGCCATCTGACGACCAACTGGATCTGACAACTTATAATCATCAGTCAGAGCACCTAATAAAATTAACTGCTCCAATGATTTCAAAATAGCTGTCCTGCAGTAGGTTTGACACAAAATAGTGAAAACTTAGTTACCAAATAAAGCAGCTTGCTATTAAAGTAGAGTGAATACTGAGAAGCCCAGAGCATATTGTTGTTTGCATGTAAAAGATTAAAAGAACAGAAAAAAAAACAGATTACCTTGATGGTTTCTCCATAAAATCAAAACCTATGATGTCATCAATTCCAAGAGCTTTGAGCTGTAGTACAACATTTGCAAGGTTACATCGCTTGATCTCAGGCACAGTAGAATCCACCAGCTTATCAAACTCACTTTCTTGGAACAATCGGTAGCACTTCCCTGGTCCCTCTCGTCCGGCACGGCCACTGAATATAGATCACAAGGTAAGAGAAAAAGGCACACGTGATTTACAAATGCTTAAAAGTATTTACCTCCTCTGAAGAGCCTGTGCTTTCGAAACAGGGATAATGATCAGAGATTCCATTCCAGTTACAGGATTATAAGCACGAGCTTTGACCATCCCAGGATCAATAACATATTTGATACCAGGTATTGTTACAGAAGTCTCTGCAATATTTGTTGCTAAAACCACCTGACAGAAACGAGTTGAGCATCAGTTAATGCTGCGAACCTACCATTTTACAAGGATGGGGGGGGGGGGGTAATGTTTTCTTGACAAGTAATATTTATCAGGAAAGCCCAATATCCTAGAATAATTACCATAAGATTCAAAAGGTAAACACAGCTAAAAAAATAAATAATATTCCAACATGAACTTTTCCCATAAAATCTACTCCCTCCGTCCAAAAATATTGTTTTTGGAGTTAGGTACATGTTATTAAGTAGGTGGAATTAAATGCAGGAAGGTCGTGATTGGTTGACCAGAGGAAGTAGGTGAAAAAATTAAATGGGAGATGGTTGTAATTGGTTGAGATGAGGGGGTAGGTGGAGAAGTTGCTATATTATGGGACAAATTTTGAATGCTAAAAGTTGCTTATTATGGGACAAAGGGAGTACTTAGTTTTCTTAAGCAACAGAGAAGTGAGCGAATGACAGCCTATACAGGAAATCATTTCCCTTGTATGCTTAATTCCTCATAAGTTTACACTTATGCTTCTTCAGGGAATAATCAACATCAAGACAAATTGTATAATACTACAAGGTTGGGAACCTTGCCTCCCAACACGGAAAACCAAGCACACAATTATAGTAAGATTAATTAAGTATTAGCCTAAACAAACTTGAAAAATGGATTAATATAATTTTTGTTTAGAAGGTGCAACTATTTTTATTTACTGCAGATAAATAATTTCGGCAGATCATCAGAGTATAGTTCATAATTCATATGGCATCTTGGAATGATGTACACTTTGGGTATTAGTAATTAATTTGCATCGCTATCAACATGCATAAATATGGTCACACGTATATCTGACAACACATTGTTCCAATGCTCTCCCAACTTGCAACTGCATACTCTAATGAAGTATGGTTTTGCTTATTAGAAACAACCTATTCAACCCCACCAGTAAGTTATGTCCAGAAGGAACATCAGGCATAAAGAGTAGCAGTTGAAGAACTCATCGGTAAAGAAAATATAGATTGTAAGCAAGCCAGCAAGATTTTAAATTGCAGGTCATCAAGCGCTATTTGCTTTCTGGGATCATTCTACAAAAATTGCGATTTACACCTTTGAAGTAAACATCCAAAAAATGTAATATATTAGGTTTACCTTGCGAGTTCCAGCTGGTGCAGGCTTAAAAGCATTCATTTGCTGCTCTGATGGAAGAGATGAGTAAATAGGTGTAGTCCATATCTTACTTCTCTGTGGTGGAAGTTGACGAGCACGCTCCTGAATAAGTCTGTCCAGTGACTCAATCTCCTCTTGGCCAGTAAGAAATGCAAGAATGTCCCCCGGTCCTTCCTCCAAATGGATCTATAAAAAGAAAACATTTCAGTATGAAGTTTTTATACAATGAACTGACTATATCAAGTCATAGTTGAAACAACAGTAATATGAAACATAGTTCCAGCTAAGATTGCATATCACTTATAATGTTTTCTGACAAAAGTTTTTCTTTCTGAAATCATATTTTGTGTGGATTTCAATTTCTAATTCTCCTGCCTAATTCATCCACCTTTTACAAGAGATGCTCACCTGAAAGATAGTAACTAGTGTAGCGTCCAGATAATCTGACTCAGGCTGATAAGTGTATAGTATGTCAACAGGGTATTGCCGTCCTTGAATATGTACAGCTTTAGCGCTGCCAAAATAATCTGAAAAACACTTTGCATCCAAACTAGCAGACATAATTATCAGTTTTAGAGGATCAATTTTTGTTCCTTGGCATGCCTTCAGAGTAAAATATTGAGACTGATGTTGTATGTCAGGCAAAATCTTTCCATTCTTATTGGCATAAATGGATCGGGAATGTTGCACTTTTTTCAGCAAACCCAACAAGACATCAGTATGT